TTTTCTACACTTTTTTTTTTTAGTTTTCAGTCTCTTGTTTTTGTGGCAGAGGAGTAGTTTGGCATGTGCTTTATGTTGGAATTATTTCAATGGCTCCAAGTATTGTCAAATTTATTTTCTTGTTGCGAAGCTCAAGTTGAAGCGTGTTGGCATTTCTTCAATTAAGATGACACCAATTTCACTCTATGATGGTAGCCGAGAACACGAGTTAATATGCAAAAAGATATGGTTATTAAAAGCATTACGAATGGTTATAAGAAAGTCAAGACAATAAGAATAACACTAGAGTGCAAGAGAAAATAAGAAATTAAAGTGATTTACGAATTAATGTTTCCTGTTGTTTGGAATTTTTAGTGCCTGAATTTTTACATAACAAACATGTGATATAAAAAAGTATAATATTGATTTCCTCACTAGCAGTAGGCATTTAAAATGCTTATCTGTGATATAATTTTCTTTCTGGTGTTTATGCTTTACTTAGTTTTAATATAGACTATATATGTTTTTTTTAATTTAAAATAATTTATATTAATTCCATAAATTTATCTTACACAGGAATCAGACCTCTTTTATATGCTGACTAGTGTTAGTCATGCTCACGTTTCAATCCTCAATGATCGCTTATTGACTTCGCACTGACTTCGATTTCTATTCGTGTTCCGTGTTCTAAGACAATTTGCAAAAGTGAAAATAGGCCCAGATCTCGATCTCAATCTCGGGGCTCTCTTTCTCTTTCAATCCGAACTGCTCTGTTTGGAGCTCGGCTATAGCTGCCGCCCATTGTTATTAGATTTTCTTTCAGCTGCCTGAGCGATATTTACATAATCTTAAGTGCTAGTTGTGCCTGCACCGATCGGTGCCCGGTGAAAGTTGTTACAAATTATAAGTTAGAATGCGCCCAAAAAATATGCCCAGTAGTCACATAGCGAAGACAGAAGACAAAGGCCGAAGCCTGCCGCAAAATCTTGCACTCGCCTTTCACAAATCAACGTCCAAATATGGAGGGAGTGCTTCCCCTGGAAAAGAGCCAGATAAATAAATCTGTCAGTGGGGCGTTGCTACTGTGTCAAATAGTCGGACGACGGGCCGGCAGAGTGTATCTATCGGATACGAATGCTCCATACCCAATACCGAATCCCCAATACCCGAAACCCAATTTTATTGTGGCCAAATCGATGTCACGGCTACAGTTCGACTTTGGAGCTCAAATAGAATTTATTGTCAGTCAAGTGGCTTTGTGCCGATTCGGGACAGTCGAACTAGTTAATTGGGTTGATTTCTTCAGATGAACATGTGGGTCTTTGATTTTACTGAATGAAGCTGTATAGTAAAACTGAAAAAGTTGAAAAACTTGAGCTTAGTTTTATATCAAATGTGTGATTAAAATTAAGACATTTTATTATACAAAAGTATATAAACACACAAAATTGTACAACACTTACTATAATCCTAAATTATAAATATATTTAGCTGGAAAGAGTAAACGTTTTTTGGAAGTTTATTCTTTTCAGGGTTTCCTTTTAATAATTATTTATTAATATTTACTTATTGAAATCTTTTATTAACAAATAAAGCTCAGATCGCTCAAAGTTTCAATGATATTTTATAGCTTAGCTTTAAACCTCCAATGGAGAAATTCTGAAAATCTGACAACAGGTCATGGATCACTTTTAGTTTTGCCATTTACAGTTCTCTCTTTTTTTGTAAACACATTCTTGCGGATTCATCTAAAACCGAAACTATTGTCCAAACTCTTCCTCCAACTGGGTTAATGAAACCGAAACCCTAAAAACTTTTAATTTCTTTGAGACCCAATAATCTAGGTTGATGAGATCAAGCCAAGTGACTCTGCGTTGCGATTAACTAATCGAGCAATCCGGCAACTTTTAATCTCAACACTTTCGCTCCAGCTCCCGGGGGCAGTTAGCCACAAATGACTTGATTAATTTCGCGCAGTGTATGGCAAAGCCAAAAAAAAAAAAAAATTAGAAGTATAAATAAAGTTGTCTGGGCGTAATTGCTTGGCCCCATTATGTGGAGTTCTTGTGTTGTCTCTGCTCTTGGACACCTGAGTGGCATTTGCTCCCACAGCCTCGCTTTCTTTCGGGCCACGGTTTGCTTTGGTTTTGTCTCTGGCATTGTAATTACAGTAATTTATTTATGAGTCGACCGGGCTTACACACGTTCTGGATCTGGAGAAAGATACTATATCTACACACTCGCATTCTCGAGTGCGTGGCCAGCAGCCGGAGTTCCTCTGGCGAAAATTATGGCATTATATATGCTTATTCTGGCCCCAGCGGCCCAGATGCAAATCGCTTTCTGGAAAATCCATAATTAAGCCGTGGATTTTTCCCCCAACAACCACTGCAATTTTTGGCCCTCTAATGCCAGGGCTGTTCTAAGCCTGCATTTTCACGGCCAAATACACAAGGCTGGCATGCAAATGAGCGTCTAAGGGGCCTTCAATTAAAAACACTGCCAGCGAACCAAACCACAACGACATTTAAAGTCAACTGCAGCTGATTTATTGTGTGAAACCGAAATTCGGTCTTCGGTTTAATTTTGTGACTTCTGCTTTCTTCGTGTCGCGCGTGAAAGTTTCTCCAGCATAGATCTTCTGCGGCTCTTGACATTCAGATAATGACTTGATTAAAAGTTGTCATGAGAACCAACTGCGACCAAATTGTGCAAGGCCAGAAGAGGCGACAGCCCGGCCAGACCCGTCCATTCCAGTATGCAAAAGAGAGCTCCAATTAAGCGAGGAAGCTTGGAGCAATCAGGCTTGACTTTGGGGTCTTCGGGCTATGTAATAGCTACAGCAAGTACATTATTACATATTTTAAGTTGATAGTTGAACATGAAGTTTTTAATTAAAGATTTATGTACAGGTTTTAATTTTAATTGGGAGCAATTATTTTGTAAGTTCTTACATTATTTATTGATTTTATTCTTTTAGTTAAGACTTCTATTTTTTCGCACAAAAGACTCTTAATTTTCTTCCATTTTAATTTCCTCTCCACCAAGTTTTTTAGTTATGAAAAATTCTCTAATGTTTTCCTGCATTTTTAATTAAATTTCCATTTTAAGGAGAGTATCACAACTTGTATTTTCTTAGAACCAGAATATTTTCCAGTTTTTTTTTTTCACTCAAGAGTTTGCTTTTACATTTGCATGCCAGTAAGTTTTCGCTGCTAATCACGTTCTTAATGAAAGTGGCGGCAGTGGCCAGCTCAGAGTTGTCCGGAGTTGGCCAACAATGTTGTTTGTTGTCAGTTGTTAGTTGGTTGTGGTTAGTTGGCTTTGGCCCGTTGGACCGGGGAGGATTCTTGGCCAGAATGTGTCTTGCAGACTCGGCGGTTTCTGCGCTGGCAATGACCGCCATTCGCCTGGCTCTTTATTTGATTTTCATGTTTGTTTGGCTGTTTTCCAGTGGTTGCGTTTTGCGTTTGCGTGCTACTCGCGTCTGGCTCTGTGGATTGTTTTTGTTTTTCGAGGAGTGCGAAGTGGATTCTTGGAGGCAGAACATTTCCCCGGCCAGACCAGTTCTCTCCTTAGATTTTGATTAATATTATTTATGACTAGCTGGGTGTCGCTGTGCTGGTCTATTGGCTCTCCATTTGTGTATTTATTGATGGATTTTGACAGCACTTGCGTTTGGCACATTTCCGTGTGAGAATTGATGCCAAGCTCTTGAAAATACTATTCTAATGGGAATAACAAAAGGCCGTTAAGTTGTGTAAAATTATTAAGGAGATAAAAGAAAAAAGATTAGGAAAATATCAAAAGATTTGTTTCTTAGGTATTCGTGTGGGTAAAATTTAAAAGGGAATAGCTTGAAAAAGAAAGCGTAGGGTTTTTTAAATTTACATTTTCCTTGATCTCACTTTTTAGGTAGTTTTCGGTTGCTAATCTTTTAATCTTGTATAGTTTCCATTAAGTTAATCCAGTTAAAAGACTGATTAATGAAGTAGATTATTTTTCTCAAATATGATCTTTTAATCAGTCAAATGAAATGAAAATGAGGTGAATAGAAACACATATCAGAGGTTTATTAATACTTAGGTATGTTATTATTATTCTCCATATTGCAGATTATTATAAATATTTTTCTTATAGTGTATTTAGAATAGAAAGAATTTCTTTTAAAAATGGTTTAGGTTGTAGGTATTAACATAGTAATTTTTAACATAAATATTTTTGTACATGAAATAAAATGTATTCTTCAATTAAAATTACAAATATTTTACCTTTCAAGTCAGTAATATCATTTAAACTCTGTTTTTCTGTTTTGCCTTACTGGTAATTAACACAAAAATTGTGTCAATAGAGGCTTATTTCGTTGAATTTCTGGTGTCTTACCCAATCTTTGGCAATCTTTCATGTATTTCCTAGTACTCATGCCCCTGGTAGAGCTTATTCAAATGAAGTTGTTCACGCAGGCAACCTGTTGCATAGTTTCGTCGACATTATTCAACATTGTAAGACTAATGACTGACACGTACCCCCTCTCCTCTCCCCGTCTCTCTTTTCAGCCATATATGGTTCATTAAAAGTGTGGCAGAACTTTGGCACTGGCGATAAACAACGAGCAACGAACGACGACCTGTGGAAATGTGCGGGTAATTTCGAGCTTGGCTTAATTTGGTCTGTGCCGGTGTGGGCATGCGCAGAGCAGTGGTAGAGCCACCATTACCACCTGTACCATTACGAGTACCATTACCACTGTGCCCCCAACCCATTCGCCACTGTCATTCGAAAGTTGCCGCCGCGTGACACACATTCTACGCATTAGCGCTGCACTCTAGCTCTGGATACTGGATAGTGGATACTGGACACTAAATACTAGATACTGAGCACTGGACACGACGCTGCTGCTGCTGCTGCCAGACTGCCAGTCGAGTAGGAGCATCTGCTGGACAGGAGGAGGGCCCGACTCCGCTGCATTATTCATGCTCTTCGGCGGCATCGAAGCAAACGACGCAACGGGAACGAACGAAGATGACGCTGCGCTTAGTCAGCATATTCGCCGCGGCATTATTCCTCCTATTTTGGCCGGCACAGCTGGATGCATTTATCACGTCGAACACAGGTGAGTTCGCTACGGATTCTGGGCTCTAAGGTACAAAAAACGCATAGCGGCTAATGTCTGTGAGATGTGTGGCATTGGGTGAAAAGCAAACTCAAAGGTTTTTGGCCCTGTGCCGGAAAAATAGCGGGAAAATTGGAAATTTATAAACTGAGTGGGACTCTACAAGGCTTAGATATCATAACAAAAAGCAGAACAAGAAAAATAAATAGATTATAGCTTTATTTAAGGTAATGAGAACAAATTTGTTATAAATAAATAAATAATATTATGTAACATATCAATATTACCTCTTATTTATATACAGGCTGTCACCACAATGGCACTTGGTTCGCTGACAAGTCGGTGGTGCCCAGCATGGAGAAGTGTCTCAACTGTCAGTGCAACCGAAAGACTCTTGTGTGCCGCCTAAAAGTGTGCCCCGAGATGCCCATGCCTCCACCTAGGGGATGTGTGGTGGTCCAAAAAAAGAGCACCTGCTGTCCATATCTGTCCTGCGCTCGCTTAGATGCCTTTTATAAGATCCCCACCAAGCGACGCATCATTGCCTACTTGGATCACTATGAGCGGGAGTCCATAGATCGCGTGGTCAACGATAATATGTTGCAGAGGCGTTCGGATGACTCCGACACCGATCTGTTTGGTGAGTTTAGAGAATCTATCTGATGGAGGATATTTCATGAAGTTTATTCCCTGCAGTTTGTGTGAAGAATGGAACTGTCTACAAGTCGGGCTCAGCCATGTCGTCCTCCAATTTGTGCAGTTACTGTTACTGCATAGGTAACTAAAGATATTCTTCCCAAGAATTATAATTTTATTTTAAGAAAACCCAAAATCTCATTTCCAGGCGGTACCGAGAAATGCGTAAAGCCCAAATGCATGCTACCTGTAGAGGGCTGCAAGCCAATCTTTGTAGACTCCACCTGCTGCCCGGTTCGCTATGATTGCAGCAGCAAGACTTCAGGCAAATCCTCGCAGGAGGTGCGCTACAGAAAGACCTCGAACAAGCATTTCCAGCGCATGTCGCAGCGTTTGCAGCGCAATCGAGGCTGCACTGTGGGCACCCAGTTCTACGCTGAGGGTCAGAAGATGCGCTCAGATGTGGACAGACCTTGTGACATCTGCTTCTGTATCCGTGGAACGCGTCGCTGCGCCCCCAAGAAGTGCTCGCCGGCGCTGAAGAACTGTATTCCGGTGGTCCCCAAGGGTCAGTGCTGTCCCTCGAGTTACGACTGCGGCAGTCAGAGGGACTATCGCAGATCGCACAATTCCCGGCAGTTTAACCTGTACAACATGCTTTTTGGCAAAGACGAACCGGAAGTCCAGGAGACGGGCATTATACCCCAAAACTCCATGGCCGAAAGGTATCCGCACGATCGCCATCCTACCAGAGCTCCGCAGGGCAATCCCTTGGAGGCCAGCAGTGAGAAGAGCATTTTAGACACACTGCGCGAAGGCCTTGAGTTCATTGATGGAAATAACAATAAGATGCTGGCCAACAATCTGGATCTAGTGGGAATTAGGACCACACAAGCCCCTCCTCTAATGAGAACCGAACCCAATGAGGAGGGTACCAGCAGCACCACAGCCCTCAGCTTTCTGGATCTCCTCTTAGGTCCCAGCACGGAAAATGTGGTGCTGCCAGAAGAGGTTAGGCAGCCGGAGTCCACGACGGTTAAGAACACCCTCTCCTGGATGGATATACTCCTGGGACCAGATGACGAGGAAATGAATCCCGCTACCGAGGCCTACACAGAACCCAGCTCTACGCATAATCAATCCGAGGAAGTAAAGACCTCAACGAATAGTATAAAGAGGATAGCGGAGGACTTTGAAGAGCAGTTTGATAATGGAGAAATGGCAGCAGGTGAACTTCCAGCAGAGGCTCAGCAAATAAGCATGGCCAACTCCGGAATTTGGCCGAAACCAGTTACCGAAGCTGTACTTCCTCCAGCGAAAGAAGAGCCAAGTCTATTCAATGCCCTGATAGATGGACTATCGGGTATACTTAAAGAGCCTCTTAATCAGACATCCACGAGTACTACTAGCACCACCACCTCGACGGAGAAGCCACTGAAGACAAATGTGTTTGCTCCACCCATGTTCCGTCCGCTGCCAAGTGGCAAGCCAACTCACACGCGAATCAACTCGAAGCTGGCTAATCTCACAGTGACACCGCCAATGTTGGTGGTGACCAGCAAATATGGTCAGCATCAGCCGGTGACCCACAGAACGGCGGAAAACAGGGTTAATTTAACTACTACTACAGAAAAGCCCACTAGTACCACTCAGCGAATATCGATGGAAACTACGACGATGAAAACCACACCAAAGCCTTCTTCTACGGCAAAACCCAAGCTAAAAACCACTAGGAAAACTATAACGACGCCAAAACCCACAACTTCACAACCGACAACTCAAAAACCCACTACTCTAAGGCCCACAACTAAGAAACCAGTAACTACAAAGCCTACAACTCAGAAACCAAAAACACCAAGACCTTTAACAACAACTACGCCACCAAAAACCACATCGCCAACGCTTTCAACAACTCCTTCACCAACTTCATCAACAACTCCGTCAACACCCTCATCGACAACCCATTCAACAACCTCTTCAACAATCTCAACAACACCCAAGCCAATTTCAACACCGCAACCTACAATTCGAACCACTGGCAAACCGAAATTCAAACCCAAGATCAAACCCTATACTACAAGCACTCCCAAACCCTTGGTTATAAAAACGAACCCCAGTATTTTGGAAGCCGAACCCCTAGAGGACTCCAGTGGCGGAGAACCCACATTGCCACCGAGTCTACCGAATCTAAAGATAATACCCTTTCTGCCAACCGATGCCGTGGAAACTGTTCCCAAGGACAGCTATCCCAGTAACTTTTATCAGCAGAAGGTAGCCTCTGATAAAATGGATGTGGTTGGGTACGATACCATGGATGATTCGGTGGCTTTATACACACAATCTCAGCCTGATCAGGCTGCCTACAAGTACAAGTTCAATGTTGAAGTTCCGGCCGTGCAGCCCGCTCCCGAGCCAGTGGTTCATCTCGGTGGGAAATACGAGGGCAGTGCCGCTTACGTAAAGTTCGATTTTGAAAGACCGGTGGTGCCGCCTCAACACAATGGATTTTCGCCGCCCACCGAAACGGAGGGTGGATTTATGCCCAAGGAACCTCTGGTCATCGATGGGGAAGTTCTCCAGGAACATGTCACCTCAAGTGGAATCAATGGTCCATTGGATAGCTTCCATGTCACGCAGCACATAATCGATATTACAACATCGGGGACGCAAGATAACGATACTGCTTCAATAGGTAAGGCTTTGATAACATTTTTTTCATGCTTTACCCCTTTAATTCTTTTAATTTTTCCTTAAAAATGTCCCGTTGCTTTGTTTTTTTTTTTTTTTTTGCAGAAATCACCACACCCGATCCTTTTAAGGATGTCATCCACACAGAGCCGTCGCCCAATCTCGATGAATTAATCGTTGACAAAGCGAACAAGCAACCGGCGATTGAAGAGCATATTGAAACTGTCACTTTCAGTGTTAGCAACTCCACATCCACTTCATCCTCCTCTACATCCTTTAGCTCCCCAACCAGCATCAGCACCGCAGCAACAACGACAACATCAACGGAAAAGGAAACCCCATTGATAGATAAATATGAAATCAATAAATTAGATAAGCTCTTGGATGAGCTGCTCGGATTGAAGTTGCCCCAAGGAGATGTGGTGAGCAGCACAGTGCCGCCATTTAAGCAAATGCCAAAGGCAACGGCAGCAACAGCAACGGCAGCAACACCAACATCCACAACTTCTGTGACTGGCACACCAGCAACAGCAATAGCAGGAGCAGCAACGGCAACCGCAGGTCGGCCAACGGGGACAACACGTGCTCCGGGCTTAAAAAAGGGCGGCAATAAAACGAAAAACAAACAGACCGCTGGCAATAGACGCAAGGTCCAGAGTGCCACGCGTCGCCAGAGCACTCCAGCACCCACCAGAGCCCCGCCGGCAACAGCCAGGACTCCCTCTACTCCTCCTCCTCTTCCAACTGCCCCGGCACCGGCCACATCAACCACAACAGCAACGAGAAGCACTACTCTGCATCCATTTTTGAACTCGCCATTCGACAAATTGCCCTTCATGGATGCCAGCTACGAGGTGAGACCGCACAGATTGCCGCCGATGGGGCAGGAGCAGCAGTTGCAGTCGCATGAGCAGCCAACGCAGCAATTCCACCATTACCAGCATGCAACGAGACCGCCGACAACTGCTGCTCCGCCGGCTAAATCCGCGGAAGAGGAGGCGCCGCTTTCAGAGCGGATGGGTGCACCGGGATTCCCGGCTATGGACGGGGGGGATCCCCTGGGTCAGCTGAAATTGGCCGGATGCAACATTTACGGACGCATGTACCGCGTGGGTCGGATTATCGTGGAATTATCCAGCCAGTGCCTGGAATGCAAATGCACCGAGGTGGGCGTCAAGTGCGGCCCATTAGACTGTTAATTTAGACATTTCCCCTCAAATAATCGAAATCATCCCCCCAATGAGAGTGTGTGTATAGGGTTAAGTGTCAGCTCTTAATGGTAGTTTGTAGTCCGTACGCTAATCCGTAGTTGTAACTAACTAAGGGGTAGAGATTAGGCCTGCCTTAGACAGTAAGTTGTATTATAGAAATATTTACAATGATTCGATTGAAATCTTAATATTAAACAAACTTAACTCGGCATTTATATACTAACTAAGCTAGGATTAACGTGAAAAATACATTTAAATAAATATAAATTTAATAAAATAAAAGGAATTTTAGTATTTATTGGGGGCTATTTAAGGAAGGTTAATAACTTATGATTAACGAAAAAATATTTATAATTGTATTGTTCAGGTGACCGATTTTAAAGATATTTTCCTGCCACGATAGTAGATCATGAATTATTTAAGAAAAGGTAATAATATAGTTTTAAATGATATGACCATAAACTATGACTAAAATCTATAAATATAATTAATCTCGATAGAAAGCCTATAAATATTCATTTAATTTTAACCTTGTTGCACATTTTTCAAATAACTAATTGCTGCAAATAAATAATCAAATACACTCCCATTTGTGGCCAAACATTCCTAGAATCGTTCTGGTTTCGATGGCAGACCGTAAAGTAATTATATAATATTTACAAAATCTCTCATCCCTTGGACCGTAAATTCCTACCTCCGGCAAATACTAACTGACGAGCAATTAGCCAAAACCAATTGATGAGTAATAATAAATTAATTCAATTGAAAAGTCATTCTGTTAACAAGTGTCGGTCAATTAGTTTCTTGGCCAGAAAACAACTCATAAAAATCAGACATAAAACACGCTCACATCCATTTTATGAGGTGTAAAAAATAAATGTTTATTCATAGCGCCATAATAATTTATGCAAAATATAAGTTTACAACGGTTTTTTGTTGTGGCCAAACAATAGAGGCAGCCAAAAAAATATATATGGCATGAAATATTGGTTGACGACAATTCATTTAATTAGGAAAGAAATGTTCAGACCAGAATATTAAAAAGTAAGTAGAGCTTATGGAATTTTGCGATTGAAAGATTACTATTTTATTTTGGAAGTGAGTTCGGTAAATTTCGTTAATAAATATATAATTTGTTTTTAATAGAAATTTAAGTAAGTGTTTATATGGAGGGTTTTCGCTGATCTATGAGATCTCAAGCTTTATATAGTATATATTTTTTTTTGTTTTGAATTAATTGACTTTTTTTAACCATATAGATAATTCTTTAGCTCGATGTGAGTTTTACAAAATTTTTAAAATGAGAGCTAGAAAATATAAAACTCATTATTTTCCTATAGTTTAACCTTAATTTTAGTTGTCGCACACTAAACAATAATTTACTTATTATAAGAAACCCGTAGACTAAGTTATTTGAGACCACAACTACATGGCTTGCTGATTTGTTTGCCGGATCCGTATCCGTCGGTACACAATGAAGCCGCACAGCAATCCGGCCACTCCTCCGCCCATATGCGCCTCCAGACTGATTCGCGGATTCCTATTGTGATTGTGTCGAAAATGGAAGGTGGTGAAGCCCACGTCGCTGAGGAAGAGAATCAGCAGGGCGGCGATGCGGGAGAAGCGGTGCGATAGCCGCGAAAAGTTCTATATTGGACAGAGCGGTAATCGTGTAAAATTAATCGAAACTCAATTGCGGTTTCCAGCTGACTGACCAGAACCAGGTGCGGCACATGGCTCCCCAGCATGGCGTAGACCCCGGCGGAGGCGCCCACCAGCAGCAGATGTGGCTGCAACCAGGCCGAGAACAGTGAGCCGGCAGCGCCGCCGGCTATATAGACCATGGCCAGGCGGCAGTGACCCTGCTCCAGTTCCAGGCAGACACCGATGAAGCACTGGCGAAAACATTGACCTTTTGTCAGTAATCAATAAGGAGGGGATAGGACTACAATCTTGTACAGAGGTTTTCCGTCCATAAAATGTTATGCAAATATATTAATATATCTTTATGAATTTCTACATATTATAAGTGGTATTACAATTCAATGGCTCACCTGAAGACATATATTTAGAGTCAGGTGCCACACATCAGCATGGAGCAGCATATAGGTCAGTAGTCTCCAGTACTCCCCACTCCACTCTGGCTTGTAGATCAGTCTTCTTTTCATGCACTCATTGGCGATCAAGTGCAGTGATACCTGGTGGAGTGGGAAAAGAAAAAATATGAAGGGAAGACCTTTAATTACACAGCACTAAGCTGCAAGAAGTAATTTTATGAGAAGATAAAGCACCTCACTCCTTTTAAAAATCAATATTCATACGTATTTCGAGGTGATCTATATAAATGTATACATTTTAAAATGTTTTATTTATTATCATAAAAATATACATTAGTCACTAGGAAATTTAAGTCTATTAAATTACTTTAAATTTTGAAATTATTTTAAAAATTTAAATAGATTTTTGCCACCCATTAGAGGCTATTTAACAATAATTTTTGTAATAGTCTGCTCATAAAATTCATCATATCGTCAAGCCAATCTACTTGTCATTAGTGGTCTTTGCCATATCGGAGCACCCCCAATCATGATGAACAGTGTCATGGCAACTGGCAGACGGCGACACTCGCTGTCACTTTCGCTAAAACGCTCGACACTTGGCTTAGGTGATCGTCATTCGTCGATCGAAGATCTCCGATCGCTGAGTGTTTATAGCTGAGATGCCGCACAGTGTGCGCCGCATGAGTTGACAGCAGCCGCAAAAACACGCATGCGACACCAAATCGGTGCAACATGAATATCCCGGCACCAAATATGACAAATGCCAGAGCTCCAAGTTGCAACATTCGCTCGATTCGATGACTAAAATGGCAATATAGCTAAATCGGACTGCAGACTGCAGCGCATTGAATTGTGCAATCGTTTTGCGGAGCTCGGCGGGCTGGGCCGAACAATAAAACCTTTCAATCGCCGATCTGCATTGCTGACTGTGCGATGTGAGTGTTTCAGGTATGCCCAACATGCATCGCCATAAGGTGAGAATCAATTAATGAGTGTCCCGCAAAATGGGTCACACTTGTGGGACTTTGTCTTGGGAGCGGTATTGGCCAAGACCCAAAGAGTTTGCAAGGCGGTGCTAATTGTTTGTAGCTTTATCAGAGATTTCTAGAAACATTCGGAACATTAACAGGAGTTATTCAGTTAGTTTTCTTTGTTATGCAAGTTCTTTTAGTGACAAATTTTTAACTTTTTCGACGAGATCATCTGAGATTATTTCTTTCGTGCGAAAATAAATGGTTTATTTGTAATTAAATAAGGTTTTAAAAATAATGTTGTTGAGCTAAAATTGAAAATTAAATAAGGACAACATTTAATAGAATCTAAAGGCCAACAAATATTTGTAAAGGCCACATTTTCATAAAAAGTTAACTAAGAATTTGTTGAATGCCTATTACCATTATTAAATATTTTACTAATTCTATAAACTATTAAAATATTTACTATGCTTTTTAAGCATTATGAGGCCTATTTATTATTTATCACTCTTTTAGTTAAATCTATTTTAAGCTATTTAATTACAATAAGTTGCAAACACTGCCAAACTCATAAGCCACAAAGTGGATTAGCGAAAAAAGAAAAGCAAATAAATATGAATTCAATTCAAACCGCAGATAATACACACAAGTAAACGATTGAACAAAATTTTCCAGTAAATGGAAATTCAAATGAATTTCCGTGCAATAATTTATGGAGCACTCACACCGTGGCACCGCCAGCAGCAGCAGCGGGTGAACCAAACAAAAGCAAACAAATTCGTTTTTTTTTTTTTTTTTTTAAACAAATCAAATGGAAAGGCATTATTGAGATGGGAGATTATAAACAGACACTTTTAAGAATCCTCAACCGAGGGAGAGTGAAACTGAGAGCTTATCAGCAGCGAAAGTTTCCCAGAAACCTAAACTTCTAAATATTTACTGATTATAATTCTCACAATCAGAACACTTATACTAAATTCTTCGGTAAATAATAATACCTTTGACCGCTTTATCGGTATAAGAAGTATTGTTTTTAAATGTTCTTATCTTTTATTGCGATTTTTATTGTTGTCTTTGTTATACTGAAATATTTAATCAAGTAGACGTTTATTTATTATTTTAAAAGCCTTCAAATAGTTTTTAAATCAATCACTCACGACTTTTAATAAATTCAATTTCTCGCTTTAAGTAATTTCACCTTTGACCGAATCAGAGGGGAAAAGTAATATACTCTCAGGTTCATCAAAGGCATTTCATCGTTACGTATACGTGATTTTTTTTTATATAAACCATTCAATTAAACACACATCACTCATACGCCACGTTGCCGGATATGCAAAATGATAAAAAAAAACACAGGCACAGACAATGGATAAACTGGAGCAACTGCATCAAATCGAACCTGCATAAAGCACATCAGCAATATAAACCAGGGCACCCGCCACACGAGCAGCTGCCTTCGCCCCCTTCCCGCGTCACCGGCTTTTGTCAGGTCATCAATGAAAATCTTCTGCAGAGGAGCTCGCGATAAGACGGGATTCGCCGAATTGCCGTCGGAGGAGGTCTCCGGCAGGAGCAGCAGCCTCACATCCTTGCTGCTGCCATTGTTGTTCCCGCAGGCGGGCCCATTGTTGTTGCTCTCCTCCAATTGTTGGTCCAGCATAATGCGATTCGATTCAATTCGTTTCGATTCGAAGCCGGCAACGACCGGTGCGCTGAACGCTTAATGCGCGACTAGGCAGATCCATTGAGGTATTTGATTTGTTCTTTCAAAAAACATAGCGCGATTCACTCCGATACGATTCGATTCGGTCCGAACCGATTGATCGGCTAATGGCAAACATTCCGAGTGCGTAGACCGCTTGTGAGGTATACTTCCAGGCGAACCAGGGGTTCAGGTCTTAACTGAAAGCTATTTTGCTAATGAAAGACTTCTTTTAAGTCTTAAAACTCAATGAAAGTGTCTTAGTAAGGAATTAAGTAATTTAATTTAAAAATAAATACAATTCCACATAAAATCAGATTGAGTTAACTTTATAATAACTACTTCAATGTTATGTATAATTTTTATTTAAGAATGTGTGCAAATTTCTTGGGTTTCTTTTCATTTTAAATTTTTCCATAATTTAATCAACTTTCGCTCGCGGATGCCCACTTAATGCGTTTATATTGCAGCCAACTTGTGGCTCTTATTAAATTTTCGCCCTGCCCCGAACCTTGGCATTTGACATTTTCAGGAAGGCAAACGACGTTGCAGCTTCGGTGGCAGCTGCAACAGAAGTTGCAACAGCAGCAACCATTCCGTAAGCCATCTCAGACAACGCCAGCGACTTGTTTACACGAAATTGTGGTGAAAAGCTTTCAACCTCTCTCTCTTTATTTCTGTGATCTATCCGTCTCTTTCCCTTTTAAATACCGCTCTCTTTCTTTCAGCTGGACACGTGGTGGGCGCTAATGGCTGTGGGCGGTGGCTGTCAACACCGAATGCTCGGTTATGAATGGCTTTTAATGAAATATTTATGTAACAGGCAATAAGAAGCACTTTTGGTTTCTGGACGGAAGCGAAAGAGATGGCAGCCACGCGTTTGAAATAGGCAAAAAGAGACGGGGATAGGAGGAGGACACACAAAAGCGTTAGAAATAATTGTTCGGCTAGTTAAGTTTGACGCAACGTTAAACTAAGATAAAGCCAAACACATAAGCGAATAAACATACACTTGGCACACCAAACAGTTGGAGTCACATTAGTAGGAACGATAACGATTTTGAAAATAGGATATATAAGAAGTATCTGGAGTTTATTATATGTTACCAGCTCGCCAATTAGTTGTGTTAGTTGTATATACTATAATATATACTATCGTTTATTTTTTCAAACCCAACTGTCCATGCTCGGGTGTTTCATATGTGTTTGCCATAAACTTCCCTGATTAGTTGAGTTGCCAAAAGTCATTAACAGTCAAGGGCTTTACGTGCCACAAAAGGGAGAGACTCTGCAGTCGAAACAACAAATTGACAAAAGCGGCAAGGACGAAAGGGAAGAATGGGAAAGTCAGACACAGAACTTATCCCGGCTGCTATGTCTGATATGTCTGGTGGGGTTTATTTGCTCGCCGCCGGGTTACATTCCACAGAGCCTGGTCAAGAAGAAGCAGTAGGCCCATTCCGAAACAGAAGCCCTTAAAGTATATTCTTTAAATTAAATGTTACCTAGAACTGAATTTAAAAGCAGCTTTAGTAGGCTGTTTATTGTATTTACTAGCTTTAATTTACATATGTACGTTTAACCTTGGATAATTATTTTCCCTTTCTGCCATATTCCTATCAGTTCTTAGGTCCTTCGTTGCCCCAAGTTTGCTCCTGCGGAAAACTCACCAAATGAAAAACCACTCATAAAGCAAGTGTGCGAACAACTTTAACACGCCACCGAAAATCCCCAGGGGGCCTAACAAAATTTCGAGCCCAGCTCCTTGGAGCCTTTGCCCCTCACACAAGAACAGGACCAAGATGTTCCACTTTGCCGGCAGCCAAATTCTGAATTCCTAAATTCAGACCACACAAAAAAAAAAAGAAAACGTTTAGGAAAATCTTTGCGCCAAAATCTTGAGCAAACAAGCTCATTACACAGAAGTGCACAAGCACCAACAAAAAAAAAAAGCAGAGAAAAAACGGAAAATAAAACGGGGCAACTAAGAGTGCGCCTCGTGATTGAGTGACTTGCCAAAGGGGGCGTGGCAGAATCTGAAGACCATTACGGTCACAGTTTATGACCGCAATTTTATTGATACCGCCAAAGGGAGCGGATACGAAATAAAATAACGCAACCCTAACTGGGTAAGTCGGAAGGGCCCCGGGGAAGTTCAATGGCGGCTTGCCGGCTATAAAGCGCAGCGGGAAAATTCCGGAGCGATTGCCTGCAACGCTGGGCGTTTTATGGCGGACACCAAAGGCTATAACAATCACAGCCGACTGAGTACTACTACAATAAACTAATCTAATGCCGGCATCTAATTTGCATGCCGCAACTAAGCGGGCTTTCTTTTTTAAGGGACTCTTCCAGCTAACCCTAAGAACGGATACCGCAATTCAGCAACAACATACATACATTCGCCATTCTGTAAACGCAAATGTCTATTAACAAGCTTCGTTTCATTGGCAGAGAATGCGTCTATAACCTAGAGATGTGTGTGGCTTAAATCAGGGATGCTATCAGTGCAATAAGTTAGTTCTAAGAATATCGAAAGCAGTCATATTTGATACCGTAATGAAAATAAATTGTATAAGTAGGATAATAAATATATTAAAATTAAATAAATAAATTAAGTAACACAAAAAATAAATACATCTTAAACGATGAATTGTTTCTTGAACAAATTCAGTCGCACATCTCTAGGATATGCGGAGCCCAGGAGACATGCGGTCCACAGCGCGTGCAGGGGCATAACTAAGGATGCAAAGGATGTTTTCCGCTACCCTTCCTGTCGCAGCTCTTATGTAAATATGTGTGTGTGAGTTGTTGGTTTGTGCGTGCCTCCGATGCAAACTCAATTATTAACTAAGAGGGCCAAAAGGCACACAGCACACTATACACATATATATATATATATTATGTGTATATATGGCACCTTACGCCTTTGCCATGGCCCTGTTTTAGTTGTAACTGATTGTAAGCCTCTGCCACAATCTCCTCTCTTCCCTTTTCGCCCTCATTTCTGCAGGATGCCTAACTCAGGGGAAATTTGCATTTTATCATCTCATGGTTTCCTCCCAACCAACCAACCTACCAACCAACCAAGCATCCCGCGTCCCTCGTCGCCTGTTATTACTGCCAGGAAGGGCTTTGCTTTTAATTGGTTTTCTTAGGCGAGAAACATCTCAGCAATACTAGTTGCAAGGGAAAGGGACTACCTCGATTACCTTGTTCTCGGCGTTGTCGTGCTTGTTAATTTAGTGTTAGGCGGCACTAACTTATAATTGTTTAATTAGCAAGTTAAATGCGGTTAAAATATGTGGAAATTATTGGATTTTCCGTGTTCAACACAAAAGGAAGGGACTGAAGTTAAGAAGAGGGAAAGAGTGTAAATATCCTTGGAAGTTTTTAGATGAAGAAAACTATTAAATTGGTTAGTTGATACAAAGCAAAGCCTGGAAGTAATTGATATGGTAAAGTAGTTAACTCAAATCTGAATCTTAGAAATTAATCTCACAAACAGTTAAGTTAAAATATATATGTATATATATATATTTTTGTTAAGGAATCAAGGGTATTATTAATCAATAAATAGCTATAGTAGAAAAGCTCAGTTCGATTCCTTTGTTATTTTTGTTTTATTTTAATTTTGTATTAATTAAATTGGTTATATACCATAAACTGTACTGCTCAGTATTTGTGAAGCAAGGATATTATTAATCAATAAATTGTGGTATCAATTAGAAAAGCACTTAAAAAAATATTGAGTAATAAACTTTATATTATAAAGCATATAAAAACATCACTATTTCCACTTTATTACCTATAAAGCTCAACATTTTTAAATAATTTACATAGCTCTATAAAGCCAATAGAAATCTAACAACTAATTTTTCCCTCTTAATAACTCAAACTTTCTCCACAGTGCACCATACAGTTCACATTTAATAAGCTAAAAGCATTTTAGGCGCCCCTCTGAAGATATTTATCTTAAACATATGCGCATTATCCTCTCCTGCCATTGCGTGTAAGCGTTTTCATTATACCAACAATTGAGTGAGTACATTGAGTAAATATTAACCCTTTCAGGGCTCTAACCGACCAGTCATGACTTTAGTACCATTAGAGAAGCGAACTGGAAAAGCCACTACCTAAGGCAGAGAAAGAACTAAAGCAGCCACAAAATGATAAAGATTATGAATTGGTTTTCAATGGTAAAATATCGAATATTATAATTTAAAAGTCAAAATTGTATTTATTTTCCAAATCTAGGTCATAGGCCTCATTCCCATTAATCGCCAGGAGGTGGATTCAAATGTTATATTGGACTACGCCATGATGTTCATTGTGCCCATTATCTATGTGACTTGCTACTTGTCCATCAACTGGATGCATTTTATAGGTGTTTGCTTTCTGGATTCCTGCAACAGTGTCTGCAAGCTCAGCAATAATCTGTTCATGCACCTGGGCGCCTTCCTCTACTTGACCATCACCTTGATGAGCCTGTATCGCCGCAAGGATTTCTTCCTGCAGTTCGACGAGCGACTGAATGCCATTGATGCGGTCATTCAGAAATGTCGTCGGGTGGCCGAGATGGACAAGGTTAAGGTCACCGCAGTGAAGCACAGTGTGGCCTACCATTTCACCTGGCTTTTCTTGTTCTGCGTGTTCAGCTTTGCCCTCTACTATGACGTCAGGGCGCTGTATATGTGAGCATCCATCACCTTTTTGGCAGCTAAAGATAATAAAATTAAATAGGAAAAAGAAGAATTCCTTGCTAAATTACCAGAAGCACCTTAAACTTTAACATTCTGTAATACAACTCACTAACCTTATCACCTTATTCCCACAGGACCTTCGGTCAGTTCGCCTTCGTTCCGTTTATGGTGTCCAGTTTCCCGTATTTGGCCGGCAGCATTATCCAGGGCGAGTTCATCTATCACGTGTCGGTCATCTCCCAGCGCTTCGAGCAGATTAACGCTCTGTTTGAGAAGATTAACCAGGAGGCCCGTCACCGCCATGCACCCCTCACTGTGTTCGATATCGAGAGCGAGGGGAAGAAGGAGAGAAAGACCATCACGCCGGTAACGGCCATGGATGGCAGGACGACTGGCACGTTCGGCAATGAGCACAAGTTGGCTGGTGAAATGAAGCGCCAATTGGGACAACAAAAGAACGACGAGGACGATGTGGACTCCAGCAATGATGAGGACGAGGACGATTTTGATTACGACAATGTCACTATTGCTGAAAATACAGGGTGAGGTTGATGAGGGGGCAGAAACGATTTGCAGGTTTTGATTAAAGATTGCAGCGACTGATGGTTTTGTTTATATTTATATGGAAGGCATTAAAAATACATTTATTTTTCTAAACTGTATTTAAATTTTAACATTTTATCCCAAAAAATATATAATATATATTTTTCTCAATCAGAACCACTTCGGAGGCCAATCTTCCCGACCTGTTCAAGTTGCACGATAAAATCCTATCGCTCAGTGTGATAACAAACGGAGAGTTTGGACCACAGTGTGTACCCTATATGGCGGCCTGTTTTGTGGTTAGCATCTTTGGGATTTTCCTCGAAACAAAAGTCAACTTCATAGTGAGCGGAAAGAGCCGGCTGTTGGACTATGTGACATATTTGTATGTGATTTGGAGCTTCACCACCATGGTGGTGGCCTACATCGTGCTCCGTCTGTGCTGCAATGCGAACAATCACTCAAAGCAATCGGCGATGATTGTCCACGAGATCATGCAGAAGAAGCCAGCCTTTATGCTTAGCAATGATCTCTTCTACAACAAAATGAAGTCCTTTACCCTGCAGTTCCTTCACTGGGAAGGTTACTTTCAGTTTAATGGAATCGGATTGTTTGCCCTGGACTACACCTTTATTTTTTCGGTGAGTTTTAAACTTAACTTAAATATTCGATTTATAAACTGTATAACCACCTTTTTAGACTGTGAGTGCCGCCACATCCTATTTGATTGTCCTGCTGCAGTTCGACATGACTGCAATTTTGCGCAACGAGGGTCTCATATCATAAAAGGCTTAGGTCAATTAAAGAAAAAAGATTTTAATTGTTTTCAACTTAAGCTTAAAACTCATTAAATCTATTTTTATCAATGTTAATGAAAGATATACTAAAAAAACCTCTATTTTAATGATTTTAAAATATTATCTTAACCAAAAAACTTAACTAATCTGAATCATAGATTCCCAATCTCTATACTTTTAAATATAATCATAATTTTATTGTAAGTTTATCAATGTCTAGATAATATTCACTTATTATCAAGTCCTTCAAATGTTTATATAACGATTACCAATAAATTACTGAAATATTTTCAGCAACATATTCTGTCGATTTCCGACTTTTATTTTGAAAAAATTCCTTCATGTATCAAAACATCTAAAGACAATTTCTCAAAGTATCCAGAGCTAGGAAACAAAATATAGAGAGAACATCGAAGGCTTCTATTAAGCGCAGCGATAATCGCATCAGCCAACACTTTGGGCTCCCCATGAAGGATGCCCAAAGGACCGTGAAGGGCGGGACCAGAGGTTACTAACACAATTTCCATCAAATGTCAATTGAAAAACCCGATTTGCCAGTCATCAGTCAGGGCCTCTTTTGCACTGTTCTCCCGACCCACAGCTTTGCGGCCGTCAAACGGAAGCCAGACGCGAGCGGGGAAGTGGGTCAGGAGGAAGGATGCTGGATGGATAAAAAAAAGAACATGGAGCAATTTCCGCTTTCAATCACGTTTAGTGCAGCGGAAATGTGTGCAGAAATATGTTCTTTTTTACTTGTTACAGTTCTCCTCTCCGTTTTGTAAATGCAAATCTTCAAATACAGTCAGGGGGGGTTCGATTATAAATTACATTTCAATTTCAGTTAAATCTAAATATTTCAGCAGAGCACAAAAATAGGGAACCTCGATACGGCCAGTGAAACTCAATTAATTGCCCATTATATGCCAAGGGGATATGAATTAATTGATTTCTTCAGCCACACCTACTGTCTCCCTTTCGAGCAAGTCCGAAAGTCTCACGTTACACACTTTATCAAGGCACTGGAAAAAGGGAATTATGTATCTTATAAGAAATGAAATGAAGGATCAAAATATATATAAATCGACCAATTTTCTATTGAAGAAAATACCAAAAACAAATTTGGTTTTAAAAATTAAGAAGGACACAGATGACAGAAAATAATTTGTTAATTAATAATATATTGTATAATATTTAATAATAATATAATATTTATTTTTTAGTTTAAATAATAATTAATTAATTTAATATTTATCATATAATGTAAAAAATAATTCAAATACTTACTTCTTTTGCGTGTACACACGGTCTGAGTGATTGGAACACATCCCCAACACGTAAATCAATATGTGGCTCGATTGGCTCGTTTGCACATGAACCCTCCTACTCCATGAGGAGAAATAAATTAAGAGGCAGAGGGACCTGGGGAGACAGGGTGAAATGTGGTTGTCCTGGTCAGTGAAAATGACTGGAAACAGAAGCAACAGGCAACACACATATTACCTGCAAATTACGTCAACTGTTGCAGGCAGCTTAACCAAGGAAAAAGCAGATTGAGGGTTATCTGAGAGGGTCAGAATCAAGAGTACTTTGAACTTAAGTCTGATTTTAAATTATTTTGTTAAACAATATTTCAGGGACAGAACAAAATATTGCTTTTTGGATCGGTTATATTTATATATACAACTTTAAATATATAACTGGTTTTAATATACTTTTTAAAATTTTTTTCATGTATTTACCTTTGCTTTTCTCAGTGTAAAGTGAAGCGTGATCCACGTGACCCTTGCCAGGCAATTTGAAATGTCAGGGCACTTTCAAGAGTTCATTTAGACGGTAGAAAATTCTATACGAAAACGCTTAAAGCAGTAGCTGTGGCAGGGAGTCGAAACAAATGCCAACAGGTTGTTTCTGTTGTTTAAATAATTGAGGCTAAAAATGCAATGGCTATTCGCCAAGGGTAGGAGGTCATCACAGAGCCTCCCACTGAGTTAAGCTTGTAAGAGTATGAATAAGTACATTTGTGGGTGAGTGGCAAGCTTATTTATTTCTCATTTGGGGTAGGGTTGTTTATACCCCGGTTGGGTCTTCATTATCTACTTATGCAAATTTGATATTCTGTAGCTGCTTCTTGGAAAGTAAATTGTATTCTTAGAAGGGAGCTATTTATTAAGGTAATTGGTTTATAAATTTGTATTCTTTTCAAATTCTTATATATATAATATATCTGTAAAATGATTATTTTTTGGTTCAATCGAAACCGTAACACAAGACAACAAAATATTTTACACTTATTTAATTATTAAATTACAAGAAGCACTCCGTTTATTTTAATATTTATACGTAATTATTGCATTATTCAATATACATTTTAAATATTTAATGTTTTCATCTCACTGGAATGCTGTACATCATACACCCATGAAACTGCAGTGACACCAACATGACTACTCTGAGGAAAGCTTTCACACTACAGGTGTCTGTCTAAGCGAGACAGAAACACCAGTGACAGCGACAGCGAGAGAGTCAAAGAGAAAAGAGCGGAAGAGTGCGAGCCAAAGCGACAAGTGTGGTGAGTTTCGCCATTATCCTTGAGAACGCATTCACCCTTGGCCAAGCGAAGGCAAATTGTGCGAGGACCGTTAGGCGAAATCAAATCAAACTGATAACAGCTGTGTGGGGGAGACAGAGACGAAATGGGGTGCAAAGGCGAAGCGAGAGAGCGCGCTTAAATGAGAGACCAGAGCGCCAAAAAGCACAAGGTGAACTTTTCCTTCAACTGAAGCCTCAGATAACGGGACAGTTCGTGGCGGAGTTTCGAGTGTGTCGGTTGTGCAACAGCGGAATAACGGTACACCACGAAAACCCTCTGAGAAAGAGTGTGTGCGGGTGTTTGAGTGTGAGTGAGTGTAGCAGCCTCAGTGGCCAGCGTTGTTGGAATTAATAAAGCAAGTCCTGTGCGTGTGTGTTTAATGATTAAACTTTAATTACAATAAATTCAAAAATTAAATGAAAAATAAAGCTTAGATAAAATTAAACATTCTTTAATTATAATTATACTAAGAGCAAATTAAGTGTTCGTAGAAAATAAAACCAATATTTATAGAAAATTGATTACAATTTTACAGAACAATATTCAATCTTAAAAAATTTACTGTTTGAAAAGTTAAGAGCAACAAAAATAATGTGTTTTGATTGCGAATTCTGTTGAATAATCAAGACAAGCAGACTGCGCAGTTTGGCGCCGTGTGGGCGTCTGCCCAAAAATCTAAGAAGTAAATGGGAGAACAGGGCAAAAATACATAAATCCCACCTAGACAGCAACGGTGTGTCTGCCCCTGACTTTTATTTAATGCTTATTTTTGGGGGGCTCATTGGCAAATCAAAGAGTTTTGTCTTTGAATTTTGGGCATTACTAAGCAGGATTCAAACCTAGGAGTTGATGGCGGATTCTGAAATTCTTACTAAAAACCATACAAATTTGGCTGCCTTTTGGTATGAATATTTCTTGAGAAATTTCTCAAAGCGATTTTGGAATAATTAATTTAATTAAATTTTAAGTTTAAGAAAATACTGAGGAGTTTTAAAATATTTTTTAAAAAAGGAAGTTGCTGCCTTGTCTAAAAATTAAATATTTAATTTAGTTCTTCCTTTCATTGCTTCTACTCTTTAAATTAATTTTAATTTAGTTTTCAATCGACTGAAGCCATTGTCTAATTTTCAAAAATTAGAAGAGCATTCAAATGCCTTTTAATGAAAAGGCAACTTTCCCCGGCATTCTCCTTCGGCTTTTCTTCTGCGTCTGCTTCTTTGCGTCTCGCTTTCACTTGGTCATGAAAATCAAAGTCCCCCGTGTGCGCTGTCAATGTATTGGGACCCCCACATCTGTGTGTATATGTGGACTGTGCTTGTGTGCGTGCACACACACCGACACACACACACATTATAGGCGTGCTTGCTGCGGGGGCGTGAAAAGTTTGTCTTCCTGTTTGAGTTGCGTATTTGGGCGCCATTTCGGCATTCCGCTTTTTATTTACTACAAATTGCTTTGCATTTTCGTTCCATTTCATCTTTCTCTTTTGCGTTATTTTCATTCCGTTTTTTCTTTGGCTTGGTTTTATTTTAATTTATTTTTATTCTGTTATTGCGCTTAATGCGCTGTTGGCAATTTGTTAGGGAATAAAATGTTGCACCTCAAACCCCTCCCCGGCTGTGGCTGTAATGAAATATTGTAATTAACTTTGTTGCCAGCGGGCAAACCGAAGAGAAATTTGCGACGTTAATGAGGCGGCAACAGGTTCCACGGCAGCAGCTTCAATTAAGTTTTTAATAAGCGACAGTCTAGGACTAATAAATATTCATAAATATTTTAGCTCAGCTGTCGGCAATTTTGAAAGTACTAACCCACAGACCAGGAAACCCTCCCCCGCTAGCATATTTTGAGTGTATTTAAAAGTTTTTTCCTTGTGCTCTATCGGAAAGTTTTCCGTCAACTTGCCCCTCTAGCCTGTCCTTGTCCCCAGTGCAGGAAACTTTGGATTCCATTCATTATTAACGATAATATGTGCTCAGCTCCTCTGGAAGCCAAGTTTGGGGGTGAAAATGCCAGGGGCGAAAAGTTCGCAATTAATTGCAAACTACCAAGTCGAGAGCAGGAAAGTGATATCTCGCAGGACAAAGTCAGAAATTATTTAACGAAATGGGTCACACAATGTTAGCTAAGCTTTATTTGGGTTAACAAATTAAAACTGACTTGGAAAAGCTGGAAGCTTGTGAAATGAACAATGCAATGAATTATTCATTTTATGTCATTAGCTGAAGGCAACTTTCAAGTCGAGTGCCGAAATATGATTTCCCACAGGATGAAGTTGGGAATTTATAAGTCAAATTCAGTGTTTTGTCTTAAATTAAATAAAATTTTGGAAAATTTATAAGCTCTGTTTTGTTAATTGTTAAAAAAAAAACTTATGAAGTTTAAAACTCTTTTTTTTTAACAAAATATTTGCAAAAGTCAGTCCGTCTTTTTAAATTAAATCCTCTCAATTTAAAGTAATCAAAATAAATGCTCCTTTTGTGTAGAAGTTTCTAATATTTTCTTCTAATATAAGCTAATATAAAGCCTTGAACAATAACAAAATATATTTTACACATCCATGAATTAATCCAATAATAAACTTGGCATAAACTCAATGAACAAACAAAGAAATAACTTGAAATAAAGCCAATTTCCACAATAACGAGGCAAAGTAACGCCTACGTAAAAGCTTACAATGGCAAATAGCATTTCTAAAATTTATTTAAATATTTGCGTACACAGAAAATAAGCGGATTCACGGCAAATTTAATAACACAAGACAATAAAAGAAACGTTCAAGTGGAAGGAGATGATGAAGTGAAAATAACAAAAATCGGCAGATAACTAATAACAAGCAAACAGAAGGCATCAAAGGAAAAGCGAGAAAAGCAGTCGAATCTTTGACTTTGAAGAGGGCCAAGAAAAGCCAGAGTCATGGTTTGAACTTTGGGTAAAGGAGGTAAGTTTATGGACGGGAGTATATAGATATATTTGTTATTACTCTGTTTAAAATTTGAGCAATCATTGAAGAATAAATTTAAAAGATTAATAAATGCATTCGAAATTTATTTAAAAAAATTGATTTACTGATTTTTCTATAAATATTTATTATCCGAAATATGCACAATAAAATTCATAAATGTCGAATTATTTATGAGTCTGGTGACGCTTATTTTATGAAATTAATTAGGGCCTCGTATTCAGATAAAAATTAGGCCCCTAACCTTTTCGCATATTCCGAAAAATACACACAACTAACCCAATATTCATAATTCATTCACCGACATCTCGCAGCTCCCCAAAGTACGTCATAGATATTCCATTTTCATCAGATGTATTAGTAAAACGAGAGCCGCAAACCACCCCTCAAGAGATTTAAATTTAGCCCCGGACGCCGCTGTGTACATGGGAACGATATATACATACAATTTATATAGGTATATGCCAAATTATTGTACATAATTGAGTGCGTTACATTATTTACTTGATGGGGCTTTTTCGAGGGGGAGACGGTCGGGGTCTTAGACCTTTTAACCGCTCGTTGGGTCCTTAAAGTCCGCAAAATATAATAAAATTAAATGGCTTTAAGGCCTCGCCTCATCGGGTGACTGAAAAGTATGCTACAAATTCCTCCCATAAATATTGATGTATCTTAAGGGGGTCTCGGGAGTGTGTGTTCTGCTGTTCGTTCACCTTCTTTATACTCTTGAGACTAAAAAGGGAGAACAACAAATCGTGTCTACTAAGTAAATATTCAGAGCTCTGACCCTGGAGAAGGCATTGAACCATTATTTTGCACCGCACAAATATAAAACCGTAGAATAATTCTGCATAATGCTGCACACTAATCAGCATAATCGCATTTAAAAGGCAGTTATTAGAGTTGTGATTGGCAGATTGTGGTGTTTCATATTGTCAGGCATTGTTATGCAATCATGTTTGATATATAGCAGGCGCTAATTATCGATTTGCATTTAATAGGATAATACAATTTGTGGCAAACACGAAAACAACCTTTTGGTCGCATGATTATTTACCAGACCCCACATAACACAATTATCATTTTAATTGAATAAAGCATTAAGGCTGTCAGTAAATAGGAATCATTTATCTGTGACAATGGAAAAGGTGATAATTGGATATGGTTACCCAGGGCGACAAAATTTGAAAAGAAAAAAAACGCAACAACCAAAAACCAGAGAACTTTTTCATAATTCTGTGAACATTTTTAATAACTTGGCATTAACTTAAGTATAACTGCGTCTTGTAATTGTAATTATTATTAATATATTTAATTGTTTATATATAATTATTATTATAATATATAAAACCGATTCAAAATGTAAACAAATTTCCTCAACAGCTAATTAATATCTGTAAAACATTATTGATTTTTGTTAACTATTAATTATTCTTATAATAATTATACAATAATATGACAAATTTCAAGGGTACACTCTGGTGTTCTTATGCTAGCAAATCAATCACATATCCCGTTCATTTGTTATAATTAGACAAAGCCTTGTTTATTTGGATTAAATATAATATTGCCGGCACACTCGCTACCACATCAATCATGGCACTCGATGTCTGACAATAATATCCTTACCCTACGGCTGGCAAAGGAGAGCAAAAATGTATAAATACATAGAAGGGGAAATAATAGACCCAACTTAAGCCTGCTTTGGATGCGAACTTATGGAAGTGAGCTGCTAGTCTGCTTATGTCCTTAAGGCTTATTATTTAGCTGCTTTTTCATTGCGATGCGGAATGTGCTCGAATGGCAAGCCGACTCCTCTTTCTTGTGCGACAATTCAGTAAACAACGAACAAACAAAACAAACAAACAACAAAAAAGGGAAGCCACGTGGTTCCGCCTGACAGTGACAATAAATATTAATGACCCTCGGAATGAATAGATATTTAAACAAATGTAACGCTTTTATGGTGTCATGAAAATGTTATTAAATTGCCATGACCAGAAACACGAAGCCGCGGCTTGAATGACTTTCATTAGCTTTTTATATTATGTGTTGATTGTTTTTGTCTAATTACTGGGCGGCCTGATAATGTTATTGACCTGACACAATAAAAGCAGCACACTAATCTCTATAATTAAGGTAATTAAATATTAATTACTATGGTTACTTAAGCAAAATTGAAATGTTTACATATTTTAGTTAGATTCTTCGATTAGGATTTTAATTAAACCTGCAAGATCTTCCAAGGGAAAGTTGAAAATAAATTTGTGCATTAAAATTGATTAATTTTATGAAAATAAAATGTATTAAATTTAGATTCCTTCCTCCATAAATTACCATAATATCTTGCCAAAAAGCTGGCTAGAAAATTTACATTTTCCCTTTAACCCAGAACTAAACTAAATTTAAGCAATTAGAGCTGCAAGGGTTGGCCAAAACCCTAAAAAAAAAAAATGGAAACCAGTATTAAACAAGCTGGAAACCAAGCTACAGCCACTGCTAATGAATAATCCGCGCCGCGCCGCCCCCAATAGAAACTTTTCTCATTACTCAAATCTATATATACGGTGTATATATCCGTATATAAATCTCAACCTTCGACAGAGAACTAAATACCGACAAAGTGAACAAAACGGTTTGTCCAACAGCAAAGGCTAAAACAGGGCGGGGCTGTCAAGGGGGCGTGCATTTTTATAAACTGTTTTTGGCCAGGATTCATTTGCATCTCCCAGTGGGCGTTGCTGCTATTGCCTGGGTTTTGAACGAAAGTCAAACGCCAAAGAGTTGCCGGCAAAACAGCAACAAATTTGCACTTCCATTTTAATTTCGCCTGTAGCTTTTCCCAGTGATGATGATGCTGGAAAATCCTTTAAAAAGTACCAAGAAACTGATGCAAACAGGCAAAGCTTCTGTCACTAAAAAGGAAGCTTCTGCGCTTAATGGCCGCAAAAGTGCAAGAGAGAGTGGAGAAAGTGGTTCCAAGGTTGGTTGGTTGGGATCTTCTGTGAAATACATTTTATACATTTTACCGGGTTACGGAAGAATGCAGTAAACGAGGTTGTCAGGAAACGTAAAATTGTTTTAAAACTCTTTAACGTTGCGTAATTTTTATACATAACTTTAAATTCCGCAAAGTAACAAAATTTAATAAAAGTTTAAGTGGAAAAAATCTGACAAATTCATCCAATGTATAGAATATAGTCGTGATTTCATTCCCCTCTTATTTTGCAAATTGCCAACCATAATCATACCATACAGCAGGAATACCATACGGGATGCACTCAAGTTGTGGCGCTGCTGCAACGCTTTGAAGAGCCATCAAGTTCAGCCATAAAGTTTTATAACCACACACTCGACCTCACGTCTCTATCGTGCTAACATCCTCACTTAGTAAACTTATTGCCAAAGCATCAAAGACACAATTAACCATAGTTTTGTTGCTGTAATGTAATGGCACTTGTTCGACATTTAATTACACTAATTTATATGCAAACTGCAACCAACACGGCGGCAGCGACGATGGCCACACGGATGCTGTGACGATGTCCTTCGTCTAATATACTTGCCTTTTTCTGCCCGACTCTAGTAAACATTACAGAATTAATTGTTGCTTCATTGGAAAAATTTGTTCTACTAATTACTACAATGTTTCTATTTAATTACAAATTATTTCCCAAAATCAAAACCAAAACACTTTTGATCTTTTACAATGTTATTTAATGAATTCCTGGCAAACAACTCTCCTTTTGATTCTAAGAAACATTAAGCCAAAAGCCTAGAATTTTCGGAATTCCATGAAATGAAACTAGAATTTTCTTGGATTTAATATTTTAGCTTTAAAGGAAAATTCACCTAATAAATAAAGAATGCAATTTGCTTTCTTTTTCGTGTTGTCATGTTTCTCCTGGAAACTAAGTTGAAGGGTTTTTCCCAATTTCATACCTAGTAAAAGTATCCTTTATTCTGGTTATTTTTTTCGTAGTGCTCCTCTTCTGGCGACTTCGCCTTTCTCGCATTCCTTCCGCCAGCTTCAAGTCCTGTTCTTCAGCGCATTTTTCCACATGACGTGTGCCTGGGCCAAGCTGAAGGAAAAAAGAGGAAAACAATAAAAAAGCGAATAAAATGGACAGAGACAAAATTTGTCAACATGTTTATAAGTTTATCTTTTTTTTTTTGTTTTGTTCGCTGCCACGAGTGTTTATTGTGTCTGCTTTTTCCATTTCTTATATTAATATTGGTCATTTAACTTTTGATCTCAGTCTGTCCAGGGTGGTTGGTGTTCTTAGTTATTGCAGCAGTGACTGTTGTTTGTTACAATTTGGATTGTTTTAGTTAATGATTTCTTTCATTAGGTGGTTTTTCTTTATCTTTGCCCGAATTTATTGAGTGGTAAAAAGAGATGCCTGTACCTGGGGTGTTGTTATTTATGTTGTTTGTAATATTTATAAAAATATCCAGGCTGCCTCTTAGTTTTTTATAATATTTATCTCGTTAATGAATAGATCAGAACTATTTAATGATAAGGTAACTTTCTGAAAATGAATGGCCTTTAAATTTATATTTACTTATTTTCTTAGCTTTCTTCATGGAAAAACTTGTTTCCCCAAAACAACTTTTAAGACTATTTTGTCCTTAAACTCTTATAAATTTGTGAAAATTATTTGCTTTTGCATTTTTATTGTAACTACGTTTGTTTTCCAAGTTGTCATTAGTGCCAGAAGCCATGTTGCAGTTGCAGCTGTTCCTGCTATCGCACTTGATGTCACTGCAGTTTTGCCCGACACTTTCTGCTTACTTTTGGTCCTGTCGCCTCAAAGGCCAAAAAGGAAAACACTTGCACCTGTCCCAAGTTGCCGACAGAAAAGCAAACTTTTATTTATGGAAATGGCTTGAATTACTTCCTCGTTCAGGACGAGCAAAAAAAAAAAAAAAATAAAAAGTTTGCCAGCTTTTCTCCCTGGTCCAGTGGCTTTATTTTGAGGTCCATCGTTGGCTTTCATCGTATAAACTATCTTTATGCCTTGTGGGACCTTTTCATAAGCACGTTTTTATCTGCTTTACACATTTGTGCGTCGCCGTCTTTCAAAATGGGAACAGGACTCGGGGGAGGGTCAAGCGTCCTCGTTTCCATCGGTGTCCTTTAAGTCCCTATTTGGTGTGTTTGCCATTAAAAGCCCCTTTTTATCCACAGTCCCTCCACCGCCGACAATTGTGTGTGTTTGGGCCACATCGTTCTGCTGATTTTGTCAGTTTTCTTTGTCATTGATTTTCGATCATAATAATTCCATGTGCTTTATGTGCCGGAAAGTGCCCGCTAAAAAGGACGACAAGCATCTGGCAATCCATTGCAATGCATTTATCCCTCGGATCCCTCGCATGCCATGAGCTGAGCTCTGAAATGATTTGATTTTTATGCTTCTCTGTTTGTCTCCCATATCTTTCATTTCCTGAGTCTTCCTCGGTATTTCTTCTGTTCACTGTATGTGTGTGCTTTCCTTTTATGACTTTATAATATGGACATTATCCATCTCTGAAACTGATTTCTTTAGAAAGTTAAGTCATTCGAAGGAAAGTCAAATAAATTGGGATTACAGAAAAATGATGTTCTTAAACGTTTCACTTTTCGAATGATAATTGATTGGTAACGATAATAGGCTCATAATATTAAATAATACAATAATTCCACCATAAATCAGAAGTTAATGAGGTGTAGTAACTTTATTAGTATTTGGTTCTGACTCATTTTTTTGCAAAATATGCCTCATGAATACTTAATGTTTTCCGCTTTAAAAATTGAAAGAAAGTATACCTATTCATAGCTTAGAACCTTAAAAATTTTCCTGAACCCGCTGTGTTGTAAAATTCCCATAACCAATATGACATCATTTATCTTCGCATATCGCAAACATCAAGTTGTCGGAATGAGTTAGCACCAATCTTTTGATAAAGTTAATCTGTAAAGCAATTTCCTCAACCTAATTTTCCACACACAGACACCGAGGCAGAGCTGATCCATGTCGAATCAAATGCTCAATCGAGTCCAGGACATTATGCAAAACACATGACGCCCAAACGTAGCTTAGGAAAAACCCGAGCAACAACTAACACACTCAGCCAACTGACAACTTCACTTATTCCAGTTGAGTTGTGACGTTCTGACCGCAGGCAGTTGGCAAATGAAGGCAAGAGAAAGGAAAAGTCGGCAAAGAAAAGCCTGGAAAAAGGCGTTGAAACGTTTCATTTCCTTCGGAGTCTGTCGACACTAGGTACAAAATAAAAGTAGATGGTCGAAAAAAAAACCGCAAGCAAATCAAAGGCAGAAGGAACCTCATTAAATTAATGCAAGCCTCAGGAGTTTATCCCCCGCTGCCTGGACGACCTCGGCTAATTCATGGGAAAAGCCTCTTTAGCTGAGACCAAAAAAAAAAATGTTCCAAAGATTTGAAATGCTCGATAGGCGAAGTCGAAATGATTGGCAGGGCCCCTGAAGGACCTCCGTCAGCATAAGCCACCGGCTTAGTTAACGTTGTATGGGAAACATGGAACCATTTCGTTAGATTATCCAGCATGCAAAGTGGACACGGATTTACATTTCAGTTGGGTTTCATTTGCGGGTATTTGTATACAAATAAGGGAATGAAAGTATCACTAAAAATATATAAATAAATAAACAAATAAGGCATAAAGGTTAATTAAGTAACTTAAACCATTTAATACAGCTTCTTCAATTTTCTGGGAATCTTACAAAATTCTATCAAAATTTAGTTGTCCTAAAAAAAAACGGTTTCTATGAAAAATCCGAAACATGTTTTTGGAAACCACAACCAATGTGACATGGCAAAAATGTTCAAAAACAAAAAACTTGTTCAAACTTATAAAGTGAACAGCGGTTACAAAACTGCACGTGTTTCTCTACACTTTGCAACACATTCGGGGTAATTTTTAATGCCTAATAAAATATATATGCAAAAAAAAATATAATTTATTTTAATATTTGTTATATTTAATCATTTAATTATAATTAATTTTTAAGTCTTACATGCAAACAGTTTATTATATAAAAACAGAAACATTAAATAATCTTTTTTTAGTCATCTTTTGCCGTCGAGTGGCTGTATGTGAATATAGATTATATATAGGATGTGGATGTCCTTGTGTCCGGTACAGATTTAGAGGGACTTTCGTTTTTGCCCCCGTTCATGTTTATTTTAGCTTGCAAATAAAGGGGATAAACAACAACTGGCAGCCATGTTCAACAGCATTTCCGCTTACATGTCCTTTTTTCGTTTTTCGTTGGCCTGGGCTTGTGTCTGTGTGCGCTGAACCCTTTCACAGCTTTTGGCTAGGAGCCCCCCCTGGTCCATAAGCCAGTCAAAATCCATCCACTCAATCCTTTGCATATTGCTCATATAAATTTCTTCAGTAAAAAATGTATGCGTGTGTGCCGGGGATGGCTGCTTAGTCATGCTCATGAAACGCGAAAAAACGCGACCAGAGACTGGAGAAAAGGGAGAATTTTCCAACTGTAAACAATAAATATAAACATGGAGCGCTGTGGGCGGAATCATAATAATCCCATCCCAGTCATCATCATAATCCACATGCTGTCGTCAGTCAAGTTCAAATGGCTGGCAAATTTTTTTTGGTACACTCTTTACCCAGATACCACCAACAAATGGCTAATGCGTATAGGGTTGTGGGGCAACGAGGTGGCTGAAGATGACGGAAAAACAAGGCAACTGCTTAGCATAATGAAAGGTGGCTTCAGGAGTTGCTAACTTTGTAGGGAAAATTAAAATTTATGATATATTATTCATGCAATATCAATTTTAATGGGAAGCATTTCACCTTGTTTATTTAAGGATTCAATATATTTAAAATGGTTTCTATTTGTTTAAAGAATGATATATACATATTAATTATCTTATCGTTTATTTCTTGAATATTTTACTTGGTTTCAGCTCTACAAACCTGTCTTTAAAAAAATTACGCATACGACACGTGTGACAAGAATATTGAAACAACGTCCATTTGTTGAGAACTAGAAAGAAAAACCCTTGTTTATCTTATCTATTGAAAAATATTCATCAGCTATTATTATTTAGCTAATTTACGCCCCTGAAAAATACCATAAAATGATTCATTTGCAAAATCCTATATTTTCTTCACGCCTTAATATCAAATAAGTTAAATATTATATTTTATTTGATTACTTAAGAGTTTAACAATTAAAACTCTCTTTAAAATCCCCCAAAAGTTGTCGTTTAAAAGGTTCATCCGTTGAAATCCTATATTTTATTCATTGCGGTAAAGGACTTTCCCCATTTTATTTTCCTCAGAGTTGTTGACAAATATATCCACTTCCGTACGCCCAATTAACCTTCATCAGCTCCACTTTCGCTTTCGGTACATGCAAAAATTATTAAGCCAACACATAAATAAATTGTTGAAATATTTATTTACGGCCAAGACAAGACAAGTATGTGTAAACAAAGCCAAAAGGGACTCTCGACGGGGCCAGGTGGAAGTCGAAAGAAAGTGAGTGCATGGACAGATAGCGACTTGCTTACCTTAAACGCCCACAACTTTGGGGAGGTCTGAGTGAAACCGACTCGTAAATAAATACCAAAGACATAAATAAAATAGGAGGACGAGTGAGTGGAAAACACTCCCAGACCGACCCATTTTCGCCAGTGAAAGCCAGCAAAATGTAAATATCAAATAAAAAGCGTAGAAAACCAACGAAACGCTACACATTTTTTGCATTTGAACTGAGCAAAGAAGAAAGCTGGGGGAACCAAGTTCGGGATTTAAGTTTCAGACCACTTGTGTCTGCACATGTTAGCTTGTCATAAAAATGGCTTTCGCCGCCTTCCTGAAAGAGGTAACACACCCCCACATCCATCAATACAGAACCCTCCACACGCGTTTCCCCTTTATTTGCAGTGCTTTCAAGCCCAAAGAAATGGCTGCCATTTGTAAGAGAGTATAATAATAATGGCCTGGCTGGCAGAAGAAAAATATATACACATATACATATGTGCAGCCATAAAGTCTGTATCGATTGAAGTTCATATTTCCCTATTTTTTTGCGTCACCTCAATGCGTTATGGTTGGAAAAATATGTGCAATATGCTTCAAGTTTAGTTGATGTTTACTAAAAGTTGAAGATATATATTTTAAATGTAAATATTTACAACATATTTGTTTCTTCTGCTATATTTTAAGTAGCTTATTCTTATTATTTCTGTTAAAATTAAAAATAAAACCTTTCCCTTTAATTGTTTCAATTATTTCTTTTACCTGCCATTAAAAAGTTTCTAAACTTGGGAAAAAGAAATTACAGCTAACAGATGATTAAAATTACTTTTTAAGCGAACAGTGTCGACAACTAATCCTTGTTTTCCGTTCTCTCCTCCTGCAGTTGCGGATGCAAACACAACAATGAGATGGTGGCACAATGCTCTGAGGCGCAAGAGGAAGAAGCCGACGGCGGCGGGTGGAGAGGGTGGCCTTTATCCCCCAGATGCCACCTGTCCGAGACAACAGCATCAGCAGCCGGAGCAATTGTCGACTTGGGGAGGAGCTGTCCCCCTGATTTGGTTGCACTTGTTGCTGGCTGTGGTGGCGCTCAATAATCACACAGCACAGGCAACAACTGCAATAAATCCCGGGGCAACAGTAACAACACTGGGAGACTATGCAGCGACATCGACGGCAACATCGGCCACATTATCTACTGCGGAAGCTTCATCACCAGCAGCGGCAGCCACGGATAAGTTCTCGACCAACTGGGGCATCCTGGATGATCCATTCAAGGGCATCGTACGAATCGGCGATGGCAACACAGTTGCCAGGGTGAGTGTGCATTCGGGGAATTGGCAAAACTAAGCTTGATATATGAGGTTTCAAGAGATTAGCAGGGCAGGACTTACTGTGTCATCGATAGGTGTTATTCGTAGATTAGTTTATCGCTTTTTGGATACCCTAAAAGCCATATTTTAGGTGCTTAAATATCATAAATATTATTCTTATTCACTTTAGAATAAATAAATGGAAAACAAACTTATAATTTCATATAAGCATTCTTGAAAACACTTACCTAACAACCAAGTAGTAATTGTGATATGCAATTAAAATGGATTTTATTTTCTCGATTACAGTCTCACCCCATTTATGTGGCATAGTGTAAGCCCCATTTAAGCCGCAATTACACTGGAGTGCAATTGAAATAATGAGAATAAGAGTACTGCACTGGAGTGCAGATGAGGTGGGGTTGGTTTGCACCTGGAATTTGCGCTTAAGGCGCACCCTCGGTGCAGTCTCCTCTGGTTAATTGAATTGCGATTGAAGGGCGCGATGGCACTCGAAAGTCTCAATGCCATTCCAAAATGTACCAAGTGGCTATTTAGTGAGCACTTAATAATGATCAATGGGGAAATGGGATGAAGTACAGCATGAGTACTACAAGGCGAGGACGTATTCAATTCTATTGTTTTGCTAAACAAATTTGAGGTTTTATGAAATGTCTAAGAATATTATTAAGTTACTCAATCTAACAGGAAGATAAGTTTGGGCTTCTTGATAACTCGTTGACTTATTTCTTATCACCTGGCTTCACTTCTACTATATAAACGGCTCATAAATATTCAAGTATTCTCACTCTCTGAACTCATAGTTTTATACCCGCACTCTCCTTAACTAGATTCCGGGAAACCACTTCCGCGTATTTCACCGAGGTTTATGTGCCCATAATGAGCCAAGTTAATTAGCTTAAATGGTTAGCATCTGTGCCAAGCGAATTTCTGTTGTAGATACTTTTCCAATGGAAACTTGGTTTTGGGGACAATCTTTATTCCTCAACTTTCACCATCGTTTTCCATATTCCAATGGCCAAAAAAGCTTTATTGTCTTGGCCCGCCGTTGGACCACAGACTAAAACATTTACAATACATGCGCCAACAGAAAATTCAGTCAAAAGTTTTCAATTCAATTTCGCCCTTTTGTCTTTAGCAATTTAAAGTCAAAACAAAGGAAACTTTTTCGGTGGCTAGAATGCGTTAAACAAAAATTAAAGCATGAAAAAGAAAAGCCAATAATGTAATTTTCCACTCAAACGGTAAAAGGGCCCAAAAAAAAAACGACAAACAAAAAAATTTTTGGGTCTCAATGAATTTTTTGTGTTTAGTCAAAATGTTTTTTTTTTTAATGCGTTTGTCAGCGGCAGGCCAACGTAAAATAAAAACAAAACGCAGGCTTCAATAGATAAAAATATGATTTGGGTAGCCGAAAAATATGAATATGCACTGAGAGAAAAATGAGTAAATAAAATAAGCTATGTAAATATTATTAGGAAATTTGTAAAATTGTTTATAAATATATAATGTCAAATAATTATGAATAGGTATTGAATAACACCAACAGGCGCCCTTATCTTAATTTTTTATTATTTAAACTATATATTGTATTATTGTTTAGCACTGTATTCTCTACGCCACCGTTTCAACTTTTAAAAATATTATTAATAATATGAGATTCACCAACCATTTACAGACCGCCATCGAACAGTCGCTGGTGACTATCCATGACATTGCCACCGAAAACCTGGGAACGCTGTGCATCTCCACCCAGTACCGACCTCTGCAAGTGCCCATTAATTCAGAGCGGTACGAGAGCTCCAGACAGAAGGCCGACTTGGCCGCCTCGATACTCCAGGAAGTTGGCATCATTCGGCACGGCGGTGAGTTTGAATAGAAAATATTCCACCTCGCATATGTTGTACGTGTCCTTTTATTCCATCATCGGTTATTGATTTTACTTGCTGCTTGCGTGTGGGCGGTGCTGGGTCTGAGCTATTGGAAAGGGAATGACATTTTCCGGCTGCGAAAATTCATATACAAAAATTAATACGTGTGCCTCGCATGTAGAGCCGATTATAGTGTGTGTGTGGGTGTGTGTGTTTGGCTAAAAAGTAAAAAAAAAAGTGTATCGATATGGTTTCAGCTTTCCCTTCCCAGGAGATTTAAAGTTATTCCATTTCCACGCCGCAAGCTCTGGACTCAAGCTGTGCGATTTCGGCATTACTTTAATTGTCTGCAGCTCACAGCTTGTTTTTTGCGGCAGATCAGAAATGATTAAGTTTTTTTTTTGAAAATAAATTCTGAAAAAATTAAGAGCTTAAGAAAAGGGTTTTAACTTCATAAAAGTCAAAAAAAATTAATTTCTCTTAATTCTATAAAAAAAAAGTAATTAAAGCCACAATCACACTTATATTCCAAGGAATTCTTATGATTAAGAAAGAAAAAAACGGTTTGTTCGTTCCCAATTCAAATACAATTCCTTATATCCCTTAAGTGGAATTCTGATTCCCTTCTGTTGTGTACAGATTTCATCTCACCCTCGGAACCTTGTCGGATGCTGTGTATATTTGTACTTATTGCCATACATGTCCTTGCTTAATTTCACAAAAAATCTGTTCCTTTTGGACCCCCATATTCCATCCCGCCCCATTTGTTCTCGTTGGCGATGTTCGCCCCGTAAAAGCTTCGTGGGTAAATCACAGTTGAGAACAAGAACGAATGCGATGGATGACACGACGCACAATACGAACTTTAAATTAAATCTACAGCAACAACATTAACATTGGGACTAACAACGGTAAAGGACACTTGCATGCGGATGGGGAAAAGGTGACGGGTGCTGCTGGGATGGTGATGCGCGCCACAAGTGCGTCGTTCGTTGTCAACCCCAATGCTGTCGCGCGGCTGTCAGGACAAGACTTTCATTCCGTTTTCAGTCGCCAGCCGCCAGTTGCCAGCCACCCAGCGGCAACCTTGACAATGCTTAACAAAAGGGTACACTAAAATAAGAAAATAAAATTATGTAAAATCTTAAATAATAAGGGAACTGCCATCAGATATGATTTTTAAATCGTTGCTTATTTCCTATATTGAAAACCTTTTTAGTTTTTAATAATATTTATCTGGAAGTTGAGAAATATTATACGTTTTATAAAATTAAATTAAGAAAACCAAATTAAAAATCAAACATGTTTCGTTCAGTGCACGAATCATCCAATAAAATGATATCAGTGCGTCATGCATAGTCAAGGACGAGGCGGAGCACAAAACGCACAATGAACTCATCGCTGTGGCTGCTCGGGTTCGGATCAGGATTGAGATTGGTATAATAAGGGGAGCCCGGGAGTGCTGGAGCGCACAAGTTGCCATTATGGTCATGATTTCCACACCGCCTTGGAGCCGGTATCGGTGCTTTCTTGCCATCACTCGCTCTGTTCGTGCTCAAAAAGGTGAGACGTGTCAGCGAAAATCGCATAAAGTGAAGGCAAATTGGTGCCTTTTGTTGCTGCTTCTGCTTCTGCCGCTGCTTTTGTTGTTATTGTTCCATCCTGTTCATCCTGTTGAGCGCTGGAGCAACAGGAGGCAGCCATTTGTATACATTTTTGGCACTTGTCTCTATCTTACCCTTGGCCTGTGTTGACTCTTGAAATTTTGATGCGGCGCATAAATTATTCGTATAAAGTGCCCTCTCAAATCGAATAAATTTAAGCCAATTTAAAAAGGGGCAACAGTGGCAGTGGAATATCCCTGCCATGGCTGTCTGTTGCCCTAAGTGCACGATGTGAGAAGCGCAGAGAGAGGCTTGAGCAAAGAGTCCATTGCCTGCTTTTAGGCTTAAATTTAAAGGGATGTATGTGAAGGGAATGAAAATGGTTTTTAAATGCAGGAAAAGAATAAAACAATTGAGTTGGGTTTATTTTAGGATGAAAGGAAGTATTTCAATTGATTTTACTCGTAAAGGTAGGCCACTTTAAATAATTATAATAATATTACAAAATTAATAAAATTACAATACTTAGCTTAAAATATACAAAAGTAAGCTCGTTTCGCTACTCTCATATTCGTCATCTCATCCACAACAATTTCATCATTTAAGTTACGATTAGAAAACGACCCTCTTTGGCAAGTACAAGTTGTTAACCAACTCACAATTCACATCACCATTTTCTGAAATCTCCTTTTAATTTTGAGCATGAATACCACACATAATTGAATAAGATCCCCCCCATCCCAGTTGCGATTTCCACAAAATATGGCTCCCAGAAGTCCGCTTTCAGGCAAACCGAATCTCGGGCAAAATTTAATTATTCCTGAAAAGGGGCGAAACAAAACACCTGACAGCTGCAAAAAGCACCTGTATGTGTGTGACGGCAAAAACATGTCTGACTGTAGTTTGAATAATTGGCAATTTAACACACTTGCCCAAGCACACACACACACTGAAGAATATTGTTCGGAATATACATATGTCGACCCAAAAAAAAGAAGACATACACAAATTGTAGCAATTGTTGATACAATTCCTGCAACACCTTCGCACCGAGAAAAACAAAACTTGCCCAAGAGGCAATAAATTGTCAAACTATCCGAAAAAAAGAAGGGAAAAAGATTGATGATAGAACACGGAGGAGTGCGAACCAACTGGCAGAGCGGATGATGGATGAGCCCACGAACCATAAGCACATCATTCCCTTTATGCGCCCCGCTGGCGTATGTTACCTTCTCAGGTGAAACCCACAGTGTCAGCCGCTCCGAAGTGTTGTTTACCATAAGCGTTTTGTCTCCGCCGCATTTCTCAGGATAATGGTGATGGAAAGTAGAAGGGATATGCACACATGTATTAATACACAGCGAGGAAAGTCATTTTACGAACTGGGATAAAGAATTAAGTCAAAAACCTTGAAATAATTATGATAATGAAATACAAACTTAATTAAAAATTGCAAAAATTCTAATTTCTACAAATTTAATACAAAAAAACTCATATACAAATCTATGTAGAATTTAATGTAGAATTTCTCTCTGTGTTTTTGGGGTTTTCAAAATTACCATATGGCTCGTGACTTTTAAACTAAAACATCATTTGTGGTTTGAGATTTCCAAAGGCTTCACTTTAAGCTTTATTTAATTTTTTGTCGGAACTATTAATCATCGAGGCGTGGAAATGTTTCAACCATTTATTTTATTACGACTGTTTTCAAATAAAAGACTTTTGTATGTATTATTTGTTACCCTAGATGTTCAAAGGATTACAGAAATTATGTAAATATTATATAAAATATCGAATATATTAATTTTTTTGTATCCATCCATTTTTTTCATTTAATAATTCGATAGGCAAACATAATTTGGTAGGGCTAAGAAATTAAGTAAACTGTGTCACATTATTTTTTTTATCGGTTGGCCAATGTAAACATATACACAGCCATTTATCCCACGTACATCACAGCTCCTTTGTTTCAATTTCCCTCTCTTTCCAACTCCGTAAAAAGTTTACCAACTAAAAAAAAATGCACGTACACGGTTTATGTTGCTTTCTCCCGACCAAAATCGAAAAAAAAAAGGAAAAGAGGAAAACTTTGCGAGATGTTACGGGGTACCTTGCACAGTAGCAACAAAAACATGGCAGGAAAAGGAAAATAAGCAAGCCCTATACATACTAAAACATGAAAATAAAGAAAGTGCCACGGAAGTTGCGGTAATCGAATTTAAATAAGTTTACTTTGTAAACAATTCTCGTTTCGTTCTCGCTTCTGCCCATTCCTGCGCTTTCCCTTCGCCCTCGCCCTTTGACTTTCCCTTGCTTTTCCCTGAAAGACAAATAATGGTGAAAACTGTTTAGCCATTTTCCCGATGAAATTGAGAAAACAATCTTTATAGAATTATCGAACAACTCGAACTTTTTTAGTTGGTAAATAAATTTCAAAACTAATCAAATGTAGAATTTATTTTTAATTATAAATATTAATTATTCAATTGTTCTATCTTCGAATTAGCCACAAAATTACCAACGTTTTGCTAGTAATTATAACTTTTCTATGAAAAAATTAACTGTTTAAAGTAAATTAAATTAATCTCTAGTTGAAAGCTCAATTTTGTAATCTGTTTTTATTTGTAGCTTTTTTAAGCCCCACTACCACTAAAAACAATGGTTTTTTCTTCAAATCCTGTCATCACTAAAACCAAAAAGGCACGCGAATGTGGCAAAAAAAAATATTAGCTTTTGACAGTCAACGCCCACACACTAACAGAGGCAATGCAAAAGGGGAACGAAACGAAAGGACCGTCGATGTCCTGCCGCGCATATTAATCATTGTTGTTGGGTTGACACTTTTCAGCAAGGACAAAGGCGCAACTGCAGCGCAACAGCAGCTGCGGCTTTTAATGACTGTTTCAAGGTTGCAATAACAATAACAGATGTTCCGAGTTAAGCGCTTAAAGTTTTCAGCGAATGCAACACGAACAATTAACCATTCGTTGGCGCTCATAACGCAATTATAGTATTTAAATTCACTTTGCATAGCTTATGTATGCACATATCGCATCACCACAAACGCAATTGCACACAAAAACTTAATTAAAAGTTACATTTTAATTAACAAATCAAAAGCGATTGTTGCTGAAAATGAAATTCAAAGAGTAGCCCATTTTTAATCAATTTTGCATTGTACTTTTATGCTGGGAAAATACGAAACAATATTGAATAAAATGTAAAAGTTTAATATAAAATTAATTTTAAGATAAGTTTTGTATTTAGCTAAGTTCTTAAAACCATTTATAGCCTAGAACATGTATTAGTCATACGCAATGTTGGTAATAAGAATCTAAGTCTTCCTCTGGCTAAGGATTTCATAAGAATAAGCATTTGTTAGACTTATGTATAATAATAAATTGAAAGGATTTCTAAATATTCATAATTTTTTATAATTTAAATAAAATTTAAATACTAAAATACCATAAGCTAAAATTACATAAATATTACGCATACGCAATGTTGACGTTAAACTACGTCTAGAAACTGTTTTAGTTCTCATATTGATATAAAATGTTCATATAAATGTTCAAATATAAATACAAAAATATTCCTATCATAAGCTCATTACTTTCTCCCTCAAAAATATATTTATGTAAGTCGCGTAGAATGCAATCGAACAAGGAGAATGTAAATGCGATTCCTGCTGGGAATCGAAATGATGGCACCCCGAAAATGAGTGCTGTAAATAATTAAAATCCAGCAATTTACGCTGAATTCAGGAATAATGAGTAGCGAAGTGACATGGCCAATTTATTTTCGAGCGAAATGAAAGTGCGATTCTTAATTACCCTGCCTGTATGTGTGTGTGTGCGTGTGTTTTCATTTAATTTCCGCCACCAATTATTGAAATAACATTTTTGCTTATCCACTGTCTGTTTATTGTTCTTCATACGCACAGGCCTGTCGGATGCCCTGGCCAAAGGACTGCTGACCGATGACTTTATAACTGGAGCCCGTATTCTGGCCCTGAATCTCACCAACGGTGCGGTGCAGTCCTATGTTTGGTGGGTGAAAAGCGGTCAGGCGGAAACGCAGAGGTACGACGAGGATGGTATGCAGATTGGAAAAAAACCTGCTGGAAGTTATCCCTGGTAGGTCTCAATCAAGCGACAACCTATAAATTATTATTTTCCCTTTAAACAAGATAAAAATATAGCTCTGTACAAGCGAAGAAATCCAATTATTATTATTATTATTTTAATTTAAATTCGTTCTTGCCTACAAATAAAAATTCAGATACTTGAAAACCTATATTTAAAAAGCCAAAAAGCAAAAACACTACTCATTTCGTGGACATCCGCCACATGCAATCTCGATTAATGGGAACTTCTCCTCCGCAGGTTCGACGATGAAACCACAACGCCCACATTGCGTTCACCGAAATTTGCACCGAGTCCGCCCAACAACTACTACAAGGGCTGGTGGACATATCCGTACTTCTCGTGTTCGGCCAGCCGCTGGCTGGTTTCCTATAGCATCGCCATACCACCGACGGGGCGCCATGGACTGCGGGGCTTCATCAGCATCGACATCGATGTGTCCACACTGCGGGTTAATCAGTGCGAGGCGGAGCCGTACCAATTCGGAAGTCGCCGCCAGAAAATGCATCAGTTGCAGCAGCAGCAACGCCTACCGGCTATCCGTAGAGCCCCGTTTCTGCCCAGCAGGATGGGGGCCAATGACGAGGGCACTATTAGTGACCTGCAGGCGTTCCACAGCTCCCACAAGTGTCATCGCACTTCCATGGTGGTGAGTGATTAATGTTTCATAAATATTTTACAATCATAATCAAGCAGATTAATAAAAAAAATAATAATATATATTTTTTCTGCAGTGCGACTACCGCCAGCCAAGTGTAGAAGTACCGACAATAAGCGGCGTCAAGCTCCTGACCACGCTGAGCGGGAGCAGTAGCTGGGCCCGGGGATCCTACCAGTGCCTCTGCCGAAACGGATTCTATTCGCTACGTCACCCGGATGGCTTCAATGGCACCATCATGGAGATTGCCTGGCAAGAGCAGCAGGACAACATCAGCAACTACTACACGGAAGTCTTCAAGTGTTTGTCTTGCGCCCCCGGCTGTGACACATGCACGGGTCCGGAGCCATGTCTGGCAAACTACCACTGGCCATTCAGGTGCGTTTCATTCACCACCCATCAGTGATGCCAAAAGGTCGATAGAGAAATATAGAAATAAGCTAAATGTATCCATTGCTTAGCTTAAAATCACCTAAAGTTTTGCCATCTCTCACGTTTACCCGGCGACATCAAATCGTAGGTTGCTCCATTTCAATGCTTTTTCTATTCCACAGAATATCCTTGTTGACCATATCCATTGGCTGTGCCTGCGGCACCTTTGTTCTCGCCGGCTACCTCTTCCGGCATCGGCGCGTCAAGGTCTTCAAGGTGGCCAGTCCCATCTTCCTGATGATCACGCTCATTGGATGCGCCATCATGTATCTAGAGGTGAGTTTCTCGGGTCATTTGGGGCGACGCTCTTAACCCATTAAAGGGGCTAAACACTCTGGGGGGGGAGAAAAGGGGTCCAGAACACGCAAAGGCCATTTGAAAACAATGTTGCTAATGCGACAAAAGGCCCGACGTGGCCGACACGAGCTCATTCATAATTAACCCACATGTGTGTAACCGCCCGGCTCAGTTCTTATCCCATTTCCCATTTCTGGAGGCAAAGGGATCTGTGAACAGGCCGCAACATAAAAGCCCAACTTATGGGATTTTAAATGCGGCTTTTAAGCACTTACTCAGGGAAAGTAATCAGCGATTTTACATTCATTTTGCGGCGAGGATATATTTATTTACTCACAAATGTAAAAAATATGAAAAATAATTGAAAATATATAGGATTTTCAAGACTCGAAGTTCAATATATAAACCAATAATTTAAAGTTGCTATACTATATGAGGATTAGTGGAAAAATAGATTTTCAACAATTATTCACTATATATTCACATTTAAATAAAAAGCTTTCGCTTTCTATAGTATTCCTGAAGAGAGCATTCCATATTCTGCATTCACCTGACCCAAGCTTGTGGTTACATATTCCCATACCACTTGTTGGCAATTATGTTGTCAACATTAGCTAACCAACAGTGCTAAGCCACCACCCAGCGGACACATAAAACCACCGTCCATAAAACCTCCATCCCTTGAATAAACACACAATATACACACAATGGCAGGAACAAGAAGTAGCAAACAATGGGACAGCAAATGGGTTAAGAGCTTTCAAAGGCAAAGGGAATAAAAAAGTGTAACCGGACTAAATCGCAGTCGATTTTCTAATCAAAATAGACAAAAAAAATAAATTTAAATATACAAAAAAAAAATAACAACTGATTGTTACAATATTATGAGCAAAAGATCGCTTAAAAAGCAAGATGGAAATTCAAATGTCGAAGATTCCGCAGAGGAGGAGGAGGATGAGCAGGCTATGCAGGCGGCCATGCAGGCAATGGTTAGGATGGCAGAAATGGATGATGTGCCGAGAAGAAAAACACTTCGCTCCGAGGCTAAGACCGCAGCTAAGGAAGTAGAAATAAGCAAAAATCAAGTTTCACAAGGTACACAGTCAATTAAATATCCGAAAAAGACCAAAGTTTCCAAACCCGAGACTTCTATTTTAATGAAGGGATTTTCTGGATTAGGAAGCCAAACTACAGCAGAGGTCCCTCCACAGAAAGGCAACCAAAGTAAGTCGACTTCCCCAGAGCAAGACAAGCTCTCTAAAAAAGATTTACCAAATAAGGATGTCGAAGAAAACAGGCAAGTCTTTAAATCTAAAACAGTAAAAGAGAAGCAATCACCGCCAGGATCCTCCGGGGAGGCTCTTCTTCACACCGAACGTTATGTCTCGGATCCTAATTCATCCTCTGAATCCAAAATTGAGCCAATTCAAGTTCAGGATAGCAAATTAGGTAATGAGCAACTTTCAGAGCAGTTTTTGCAAAAATTAGAAAAGATTGAAGAAGCCTCCAAGCCAAAGTCTTGGGTGAGACCAAAGCCGATAGTTATAAGATCAAATCTGATACCTTCTACGGCTAACAACAATGAGAGTAAAATGGAGCCAAAGCCACATGAAGGTACTGAAAAGAAGCGTGGCAATATTAATATTTTGAAGGCTCCACTTCAACGTAGTCTGAATTATGCCACAGAAAAATATGAAGGAAAACTTGCAGAGAATCCAAAAGAAAATAAAGCAGAGAATCCAAAAGAAAATAAAGGAGAGGATCCAAAAGCAGCAGAGAATCCAAAAACAAGTACAGGAGAAAGAGAGTATACTGCAGGAAATCCTAGAGATAACATTACAGAAAGTCCCAGAGAAATTACAGCTGAACGTTCAGATAAACCTGAAGGCAATACTGCAAAGCCCCCCACTGCGGCTGCGTCTTCGGAAAATCTGTTGGAAAAACCACTGGAGCACCACGAATCACAAAAAACGTTAACGATCACGGGACATAGGCATATCACCACGAAATTGGGCGATCACTGTCATTTCGAGGATCGCCAAGAAGGCGTAGATAAGGGAGCCAGAAGGAATCTAATAATCGCCTGTATTCTGTGCTTCACCTTCATGATGGTCGAGATTGCCGGTGGATACATTTCCAATAGTCTGGCCATCGCCACGGATGCAGCTCATTTGCTGACGGATCTGGCCGCGTTTCTGATCTCCCTGTTCGCTTTATACCTATCTGGCAGACCTTCGTCGCAGCGTCTGAACTTTGGATGGTATAGAGCAGAGGTGATTGGGGCCATGATATCCGTGTACCTTATCTGGGTAATAACAGGTGAATGATAAAAATAATATTATACGCATTTTGCAAGTGATTCTCTCAATCCCATCGTAGGCATCCTTGTATATATGGCCGTTCAGCGGCTAATAAAAAAGGATCACGACCTTGATGCAAAGATAATGCTGATCACCTCGGCACTGGCGATACTCTTTAATATTATAATGGCCTGTCAGTTGCACCACGGACACTCGCACTTTCAGCCCAGCCGTACGAAGATCATGGGATCTCATCATGGCAGCGGGAGTGGGAGCTTGACCTTGTCCACTCATTTCCCCGTGAGGTCTGAGCAAAATATCAATGTACGGGCAGCCCTGGTCCATGTGATTGGGGATCTCGTCCAGAGTGTTGGGGTCTTTGTGGCCGCCTTGATTATATTCTTTAAACCCGAGTGGTCCTTCATGGATTCCATTTGTACCTTTCTCTTCTCGATTCTGGTGTTAGCGGTCACAATTAAAATATTAAAGGACGTTCTCATGGTCCTGATGGAGGCCACGCCGAAGTACATGGACTACGATGAGGTGAAGCGGGCATTCCTCTCCATTGATGGTGTGATGCATGTCCACAACTTGAGGATTTGGGCTCTGTCCATCAACAAGGTGGCCTTGTCCGCCCATCTGGCCATTGCCCAGAATGCTGATCCCCTGCGTATCCTCGAAGAGGCCGCCTCACTAATTCACAGGAAGCACAACATTTTCGAGACCACGATCCAAATCGAAGAGTACTCTTCTGGCATGTTGGATTGCAATCAGTGTGCGGATCCCTTGAAAAAAAAGCGAACTTCAAATCCCGTCGACACGGAAGAGGGTCCTGCGGTAGAAATTCTGAAAAAAACGGAGGAGAAAACCAAGGATCCAGAAAAGGGTTGAACTTAACTGGAACTATCATTATCATACAGCATAAAGTCATTTTTAATGTAAGCGGGGAGTGTCTTGTAAATATTATTAAATATTGGGTAATAAAATTTGTTGTTGTTAATGATTTTTAAAGGCTTTATATTAAGTCAAGTTCTCAAATGATTATTGTTATAATATCTTTAATTTTTATTTGCAGATGGTGGCCATTTTCCCCCTATTGGACACGACTTGGTGCATTGCCACAAAATGGACCCGCCACATGGGCTTTTGCATCACTTACACTTCGCTGCTAATGAAAACCTGGCGGTTAGTCGGTCCTTATTTATATAACTCAACTATTGTTTACTTACTGAACTCCTTTACTTCTGCAGAGTTTCTTTAACGTATCGCGTCAAGTCGGCACACAAAATAAAACTAAACGATCAGCAATTATTGCAATGGATGGTGCCCATCCTCCTAGTAATGCTGATTTACTTGGGAACTTGGACCATTTCGGCAACGCCCTACGCAGAAGTGGTAAGTGAATAACAATATTTTAAATACATTTAATTTTCTTTCTTAAATATCAAAATATTGTGTGTTATATTCCTAAAGATCTACGACCAGAGTCGTCTGAAGTTCAAGCAATGCTCGTATAACTGGTGGGATCACAGTCTGGCCATTGGGGAGGTATTTTTCCTGGCCTGGGGCATAAGGGTGTGCTATAACGTCCGGAATGCAGAGAGTCTGTACAACGAGGCGCGGCTTATCTCGTATGCCATATATAATATTGCCATTGTTAACATAGCCATGGTGGCGTTTCAGTAAGTTTTATGAGCTATACTATTAAATTGAAATTTAATTAATGTTTTATAGGAAATAATTAAAGCCAAATAATGGTAGAATATTATCTTAATTTCGAGATAAGCTTTTCTAAGCCGAAATTTATTTTATTACTGCATATTTGCATAGCCATCTTGGGTGTATGTTTTTGTTAGTGTGTGGGGGTGGCCTCCCACCTGACTGAGGTCCTTCTGCCGCAGAATTGAATTATAACAGTTGACACATGTTGGGTAATCCAAACATGCTGGGGCACGCGTCGCGACCATTAGGGGAAATGCAAAGCTGCCCGCCTTGCGTCTTACGCGGTCTCTTTTAATTAAATTCCTTTGCTTTGTGCGCGCTCGTGTTCGCGTTGTAATCCTTTTTGTTGGCTTGCCAGGACTCGTTGCCATCCGTCTGTCCGCCTGTCTGTCTGTCGCTTTGTTTACACACACATTCCTTTCCTGGGCATCGGCATCATCCTCCTCTCCGGTTTCAAGTTGTCTGCGGGTTGGCTGCTCTTCGCATCTGAAATCCTTTTGATGAAGTCCTTGTAATTAATGCAATTTGTTGGAAAACTTTTGTGCCACGAACCTAAACCTATCCCAATTGGGTTAGGTTAGTATTGTGTAAAGTGTTAATTGGCCGCCGGATGAAAGGTGCAAGAATTTTATTTAAAGTTGGAAAAGGTCGCTGAAATATTTTAATGGGACAGTGGTAATAATTCAAATTAAGCTCGGTAGAATGTAACTAATTTAATTATTTAAGTCAGTTACAAAGAATTTAATTTATTAATATAACTTCTCCTCAAAAACAGTGTCATGCTCTTTCCAAATGCTGGTCCGGACTACAAGTACATGCTGGGATTTGTGCGCACTCAGCTCTCCACGACCACAACAATTGCTTTGGTATTTGGGCCAAAGATTTTGAGGGTCTTCAAGGGCCAGGGCGACAAGTGGGACCAGAAGGCCAAGGTGAGGAGCATAACAGCCTCATTTTCCCTAAATGGAGTGGGCCTGGTCCCCGAGGAGTCTCCGGATCTCTACCAGGAGAACGAGGAGCTTAAGGTGGGTGCTTAATAGAACTTTAATTTGAAAAGTTAAATCTTATAAATTTTGTGATATTTGCAGGAACAAGTCCAAAAGCTGGCCCATCAAATCGAGTTCATGAAGACTGTCCACATGCAAATGAACAACAGGCATCTGAAGCCGAAGCCGGGCGGATATTTTACCATCACCTCAACCTCGTTCCAAGCGCCCTACAGCAAGAACACGGTTTCCACGGCGCAGACGCAAACTGGCAAAGATGAGGCCAGGTGGGTTTTACTTCACCAACAATAGAGTTCCGATAAACTATTTATAAATTTAATATTATTTTCCAGTGGCACGCCAACGAAATCAAAATCGCCCAAGGGCAAAGTCTGACGAGGTCAACGAAGTGTTAAAGATTGCTCAATAGAAGTGGATGATAGGCATGGCATTGCCACCATGTTGGAGGATGTGATTGATTTTAGTTTCCACCAAGCAGACTCGGAGGAGATAGTTATCCCCAAGGGAGAGGAGCAGCCGGGCTCGGAGGAGGCAGCCCTGCTGGAGCAGTTCCGTCGCCTATTTGCGCCCATTTTGGATGATAGCTTGAAGCTTTACTACCAGCTAAATGACACGGATGACGCTGAGCACGTAAGGATCCACCAAACGATGGCGCAGCTGTACGATGTGGGTAGCAGCGAGGAAGAGACGATGGTGACCCAGGTGAACAGTCCATCGCCATCGCCTCCGATTGAGGTTGAGCTGCTTCTCCCCCTTTCAAGTGACAGCTCGACGGCCAGCAGTTCCCTCTACGCGATCCACACCCCGTCGCCGGCTCATCCCAGTGGCGTGCTCCTGATGCCCCAAAATCTAGAGTCGCCGCTGATGTCCCACAGTGATCCCATCACGCTCACCGAACAGGTGCAGCTGCACAACCCTCCCCCGGAGGACGAGAACAACACGTCCTGTTCGCTGTCATCAAACCTGACGGACAGCAAGACCCTGGACGGTCGAACGCCCATTGTGGTTTGAGGAGGACGACGGACTAATCCCCGATCTGCTTAACTTGTGATTTCGTTTACACAGTCTTAGAGAAACAACAAACAGTTGGCGGAAAAAGAACAGCTTAACGTTAAATATTAGTCTTAAATAATGTTTGTGTGTATGTGTCTGTCAAAGTTGTTAACATATTAATTGCGTTTATGCGGAGCGGATAACAATAGAGAGTCAAATGTGTTTTTAATATATAATTCAGCCATACGAATGTTATACATGAAATGTCCCACCAAGTATTCAAATAATTTCCTGTTTGTATCAGAAAACTTCCGAAAAAAATACCTGAATATTAATTTTTGGATTCAAATTAAATTTAATAGGTTGTATTCTCTTATTTCTTAAACCTTCCAACTGCATAGACGCAATCTAGATGTGTGTGTTTTATATGGCTTAAGTTCTCGCTTCTTAACCATACACCCAACCATTATCCCATCATCCATGGTCATCTTCACAGAAAACTAAAAACATTGAGCAAATTTTTCTCACTTCGTTCGGATTGAATAAGGAAGTTGTATAGGGAAAGGAACTATAAGCAGCCAGACGGCCTGATGGCACTCATAGAGTAGTCCATCGGGGCCCTTAGGGACTTGGCATTAACATTTCTGATTTATCTCTCTCACATGCACCTAGCGAAAAATAAATTCCATATTCTATTGTTCTCTCTGCACTCATTCATAGGACAATTATTCTTTGCCTTGTAGTCAAATTTACTTGATTTTCATACTCATATGATCTTAAAAATGTAACATTTAAGCTTAGCAAAGAGTCGATTTTAGTGTACAAGACGATATACATACATAACTTGATATAAAAAATAATACATTTGGAATTTTAGCATACTATTTTAAGCTGAGAAAGTGTTAACAAACGCGCAATTTTTACTCATAAAGTTGGGCATTACGTAAACTGAAAAGTATTCCGCATAAAAAAAAAAAAAAAAGAAAACAGCATAAATAATAAATTGATATAAATTAAAATGATATATGGTATAAGTTAATGTTAATAAATTAAAATATTGTAAAGAGACAAAGTGGCAAGATCAAAGAAATCAAAAATAAATGTTATTAAACCTAATCAAATATATTTTTGAGAGTTTTATGGTGACATATAAAATATGGATATAGGAATTAACATGGATGCATTAACTAATCAGATTAATCTTTAAATTTCATTTCTAACTCAAAGCTTTTAAGGCTTTTGCGATACAAGGTGATAATATTATGTCAGCACATTTAGCAGTCACCTTAGACATTGTCGGAGTACTCATTAGTGAATTGCTCTTCAACGCGAGTTAGTGACCACTATAATTCCTCCTCAATTGAAGTTCAAACCTCACTGGAAATGTTCGAGTTCTTTCGTCAGATGAGTGTTCCGAAAGTCTCAGCGGTAATTCTCCGCTGGATGTTCTATCTAGCCAGTTATCTCGGCATTCTCTGCTTCAAGTTTTAGTTTTCAAGCCACAACTGATGACAAAGTAGCGATGCAAGAAAATGGTCAGTTGTGGAAGTGGTTTTTGGCTTTATTTCGCGTTGGAGGGCTATGTGTTTTAATATTCACAAGTTTACAATGGATCATTATGCTAAAAGATTTGTTGCGAAAATTCTTACACATCATCAGAATATTAGCAAACATTGCCAGCTCCCTATGCCTCCTGAGATTGCATTTGCTTCAGGGCACGGATTGCACTCATGTTGTCAACAGATTTCTGCAACTTTTTGTAAAAGTAAAAATGCTTTTCAAGACGAAGCGATCGGGATTCGGAGGAAAATATGAGCTTGTGCTTTTAATCCTCGCTCTTTCTGGCCTAATTTACGAAGGAATGTTTATATTACATTTATACCAATTGAAAAAATATTGGATTATAGATGTCTACTTATCCATAAGCAATAAACTTATCATGCACATCGCCTTTGTGGGCTACCTGACTCTGGGACTCCTCTACGCCGATCTAAACAACTTTGTTTCCACCGAGTTCAAATCCCAACTGGAGTCCCTAGAAGAGCAGCCCACGCGTCGGAAACTGAGGAAGGCTCGCAAGAGCTTGGACAAGTGTTTGACCCTTTACAAGGACGTGCAATCTTTGACATTCTTGTTCCAAAAAATTTTCAACTTGCCGCTACTTTTAAGCCTGGTCCGGAATTACATTACTGTTGCCTTGATTTCTTACAGTACTTTTATCAATCTTGATATTAGCTTGTCGTGGCTCTTAACGAATATTTCGATTGAAATTCTAAATATGTTGCTTCTGACGTTGTCTGTGCATAGGACAAAGCTTCAATTCAAAAGTATCCATCGACTAGTGCTAGAGAATTGTCATCTCATGGAAAACAAGGAGTGGAATAGAACTGTGAGTATGGCTAACCTATCTTTATATCTTTATTCCACAATATTTATTTCCTACAGCTGGAGGTCTTCTTCACCCATCTCAATCTCTACGAGTTTCGAGTGCGTCCTCTGGGCTTGTTTGACATATCCAACGAATTGTTTTTAGATTTTCTCTCTGCACTGATCACCTATCTCACTGTCGTCATTCAGTATGGAATGCAGCTGGAGACTTTCTCCTTGTTATTATCAAAAAGGCTTAGTTATATAACTAATTAAGCTCAGAGTAAAACACAAGGAAGCTAACTTCGTGGGAGTTGATTGGGGATAGATTTTTATTTAATTTTGAAATGGATTTCCCGGTTGGAGTATCATAAGTATATTTAATTAAAACCAAAATTCAGCAATTAACCAAAGACAACAAAGTAATATATATAAGTAATATTATAAGATTATATGAATATAAATTGAATGAAAAATTAATCTACAAAAATATAAACGAGTAAATCTTTAAAAATGTAACCTTCAAAGAATAAGTTAGGATCAATAAAAAGAAAAGATCCAAAATACTTAAAATAAACTTCACAAAACTAAATAAAACGCATTTGATGGGTACCAGGTAAAATAAACTGCAACTAGTTGCAGCTCGAATCGTTAATCCATGGATAAATCTTCTTTAACGGTAATTTCTCAAATGGCAATGGGTAAGGCCACAATTATATTCTAAAACAAATTGTGTATTAGTATGACTGAAGTAGTTTCGACATATCTTATCCAGATATACCTGTCTTCTTGTCAGTCCAAAGGAAATCACAGATGCTATCAAAATATAAAATTTCATTAACTTAATGCACTTTTCAAAGCTTTGACGAGAATAAATATGTAGTTTACCTTTCAATCGAAAATTACAGCTACTCGTAACAAGTTATATTGACCCTTCGGAAGATGAGAGTATCAAAAGTTTCCATCATTATTTTACGCGGATGGTTCTTTTACGCCAGATGCATTGGAGCAGTGTTTTGGCAGTTTAAACTACCGAAGGACCATGAAGTAGTAACGGAGGGGAGCTGGAGGAATCGTTCGTGGTGGAAGTGGATCTCAATGGTCTGGCGCCTTGTCCCGCTTTGTGTCAATGCCTATACGTACTCTTTGTTTATATGGAAGCTAGCCAACTTGGTTGACCAAGTGCTGAACGGTGCACGACTTGTGATTATTACTTCCTGCTGTTTGTCATTGATCCACCTGCAGATTTTCCACGGCGAAGAAGTAATTAGAATAATGAACCAATATCTTCACCTCTTTAATAGAGTATCAGCTCTGTTCATTCGTTCGGAAATTGGATTCGGTGGCGGACGAGAATTGTGCCTGATTCTATTATCTTTGGGCTGTCAGGTGCAAGAAATCGTCTTTTTTTTTGGCATCTTTCAATTTAGGATAAATGAGCAAAATCTTCTGAGTTGGTCAAGCGGCATCTATGTCTTCATTTGTTGTAATATAATTATGCGTATCACCTTTATTTGGTACCTCAGCCTAGGTGTCTTATATTCCAACCTGAACAAGAACCTGCTTTTGGAGACACAATGTCACAAAAGACACCAAAAGCTAAAGAATGCAATGGCTCTTTTTAGGGACATTTCCTGTTTGGTCACTTCGCTACAAAAAATCTCCAATAAATATCTTTTTTTAAACCTGCTGCAGACACTTTTCAGCGTGATATCGATCTCTTACAAAATGATAGCTGACAGACAGTTCTACCAGTTTTGGATTTGGTTCTGGTTTGTAAAGACAGTGCTCGATATGCTTGTCCTAAGTTTGGCCATTGAAGGAGCAGTCAATAAGTTTAATTTTATTCGGGAGATAATACTGGATATGTTCTTACTCAGCGAGCGAACCGAATGGAACAGAAAGGTGAGTGGTTTGAGTGAAATTACAGTTTACTAAAAATCTATATTTCCTAACATTTAGATGGAATTATTCATCACTCATTTGAACCTATACCAGTTTAGAGTCAGCCTCATGGGTCTTTTCGATGTTTCCAATAAGTTTTTTCCTGTGGTTGTAACCGGCATGATAACGTACCTTGTTTTTATCGTTCAATTTGTAATGCAATTAAAAATATAAGTATTGAGAGGATAAAAAGCAAAGTATTTTTGAACTGGTAACCAAACTAGATTAAGTAAGGATCTATATTATATGTAGCAAATCTTTCAGTTGTAGTATTTCCCTTATTTAAAAATTCAAAATCATACTGCCTTTGAAATCCCCAGCATTCACACTTACTTTTCGAACTTCATACATATGTATATATTTTTTTAGCTTTGACAAGCTCTGCACCAAATTTACAATGTTGGGGCCGGAGGTACTAGACGAGGAGTTTGAATGCCTGCGTCGCATTGCACAGGCAATTTGTCAGACCCTCGCAAGGCCTAAGGATCGCGAGATCTGCCGGAGCACCCTCGACGAAGTAGCCAAGTTCAATCAGTCGCCATCTATTAGGGTCAAGGAGAATGTGCACAAGTTTATGGTCTTCTACCTGAAAGTGCTGAGATGGACGCAAAAAAATCAACCGCTGACTATATACGAGAAATGGGTAAGATTGCTGCTAAGGTTTCCATTACAGCTTTTGATTTTTGTAATTTAAACATCGTAGTACGGCAAGAGCTCGGGTAATGATTCGGCCTCGGCTGACTCTGAAGAAATGCGCGTTTGGTTGCAGGAGGGAACATCATTCTTCGCCATGAAAACCTTCGAAGATGGATCCACGATGGTTTATACCGCAGTGGCCAAGGATCCAAAGGCTGGTTGGGCAGAATTCGGCCTAAAGTCCCTGATGGATATGCAGAACGGTTGTAAAATATCTAAATGATCTTGTGTAAAAACTCATTTCGGAGACATATATTTCGACTGTGGGTGTATTGCTCGAGATTCAAAGTGTACAACTTTCTGGCTTAAGAATTTACTTTGAATGTACAATATTCGTAGCTTAAAGGCTTAGAGTCGGTGTACAATATGGCAGATCAATTTTATTAACGTAGCAGAAGAAATCTTCTACGACTTATAAGCAATTTTGACTTGAAACTGTTTCCTTATATTGTTTAGTACTTATAATGTGGATATTTTCTGATTTAGGCTTGTTTTTATGCAATCTAAAAAATATAAATCATTTGATAGAAGATATAAATCATTTGCTTTAAAATTTAAGTTTCCAAGTCATAATTGCTTTGTTCAGCAAATGCTCACTGCTCTGCTTCTTCGTTTGATAAATCGACCTGCCGTAAAGTCACAAGATCTAGATTAACTTTTCAACTTTCTAACTTAACTTTATGAAATGGAAATGTGGACGGAATGTCATTCTGCTATCAAAAGTCATTCTCAGCTTAAAGATTAGTAAAAGTGTGTGTGTAAAGGCACAATTTGTCTTTTTTGTTGTATTAATGAGGCATATTTGTGTCTTAGCTCCTTGCAATCCTTGAGGCGGCGCCCATTAGCAGGAAAGCCAAGAGCAGCTGAAGGGATCCGTGCATTTGCATAAGACTGGACCCATTGCAGCTGTCACTAGAGCAGTAGCACTCCTCCCAGTACACACCGTTTTCGTAAACGCCCCAATTACAGACTCCAGTTACTCCGGTATCCGAAACGGATGCGCATCGTCGGATAACCTGACGCCAGCGACCGTCCCCTGGAAGCAACGTAAGTGTAATGAATGGTACAAAAAATCAGCAAGATAGCTTGGATTGGAAAGGGAAACTATCAGACAACTCACAGATGAATCCGCGGGGACCTTGCTGCACCACCTTCATGCAGAAGGATCCTGGCATGTGGCTCTCGTCGCTGTTGCATTCGATGGCAATGTGCTCCGTGCGATTGAACCGCTTGTAGGCTCCACAACTGTCGTGACCCTTGCGATCTTGGTCGGAGGAGCACTGGTAGCAACGAATGGCCCAGCTGCCTGCAAATATTTGGTGATTAATTTCAACTACTGCATCCAAAAACACTTGCCAAGCCACACCCAAAGCCGAGATTAAACACTTGACGACGGGCATTATACGGCGCTGTGGCTTAATTACATACCGCAGACGGCCAGCGTGAGGAGCAGAAAGGCACTGCGTATCAGGACGGACATGATTATCTTATAACTTCTTTGTGCGCTTCGGTTAACTTAACTAAAATGCTTTTAAACTAAAAAGAATAACAAACTTGTAATGAACGCGAGCCTCAGTGTGGCCGTGTACGTGGCAGTGGGAAAATACGAAAGGCGGAGAGAACTAGCGGGAATGCAGAGGAACCGGTGACAGCTCTTTATTTTGTTTTAAAACCAATTTAGGGTATTCCCTAAATATGGAAACTATACATAAATTAATTAATATGGAACTGCTATTCTTAGGGTTTCTTATATTTTATTGTTTTATTCATAAATAAGCATTGTGAAAAGATTTAAAAAAAATCAATTAATGGCTTATGTCTCCTTCACTAGCTATAACTAGCTTTAAAAAACATAGCTAAAACGGCATCACAGTTTAGTTGTAGGAAAAAAATCGCCGGCGAAGAAAATTTTCTTTGTTTGTTTTTATCCGTCATTAGAATTAAGTTAGACTTTAGCATTAATATGACGACCTCGGGCAACATCTGCCGCGTCTGCAGCAGCCCCGCGGACTATGAAATCTTCGCCAAGATTCCCACCTACCTGCACGGATCCACGAACGAGTTTCTCAACTGGCAGAAGCCCATTAGCGTTCTACTGGAGGAGACAACGGGCCTAAAGGTTAACCTTCCCCATTGTCTGGTCCCGCATACGTTTTGATCCTTAAATCCCTGCAGAATTCCACAGACGACGGCCTGCCCCGCTACATATGTGCGCCCTGCATCTCGTATCTCAAGCACGCCGTCACCTTCCGGGAGCAGTGCATCAAGAATGCCCTCAGTCTTAAGGTGGCGGAGCTATACCAACAGAAGGCAGTGAACATCTCGGACTCGAACAAAGTAGACAAGGAGAACGCCCTTTTTACCCCCGCGGACCTGCGGTACGTCGAGCAGCGACCGGTGCACGACCTGCTGCTGAACAACAGCCGAGCTAAAGTGCAGGCCCCCAAGGACAAGGTGCACAAGCGACTGCTAAACCAGACGGCTCCGCAGCTGGACGGCAGCTCTGAGCAGCGAATCCAGTATCTCAACGTGCTTTTTGACAAGCACCAACAGCACAACAGCTTCCAGAGGCATTCCAGGGACACTGAGCTGCCCACGAGCAGCGGCAACGATGGCACAAACGAAGACGACGAGGACTATGGTGCGGTCAGCTCCAGCGACGACAATGAGGAGGCCGCCCTGCTGCGCAAGCACAAAAACTGCTACAACTACAGCGAGACCAACTTCGAGGAGGACGACCCAATGGATCAGGACCAGGTGCAGTTGCGCGACATCAAGGTGAATATACCGGAGCCCATGTGGAAGGAGCGCAAGTGCCCGGCATGCTCCAAGCGCTTCATGTTTGAGGACTCGCAGCAGTCGCACCTGGACAACTGCGTGGAGTACCAGTTCGTAGCGTTTGTAACCGAGGTGACCAAGCTGCTGGATATTAGGCGGCAGAAGATGGTATCGCCCCACGAGTTCATCCGTCGGATGATTTTTTCCCTCCACAAGACCTGCACCTGGCTGCAGGAACATTCCGTAGACTCGCTTCTGGCCGAGAAGCTCAACCAGGTGAAGATCTCCAATGGCGAAAAGACAACTGAAGCTCCGGTGCCGACTGAGGTTCCTGCTCCGCTTCTGGCAGAGGATGAACCATTTGCAACCTTTGACTTCATCAGCGGCACAACGACACCGATTACGGAAGAGAACAATGTCCTGTATGCCATTGCTCGCTCCGAGAGCCGCAACTCGACATGTACGCCGACGGTAAAGAAGCCAATTCCCATACGTGGGACGGGAATGCCTCTGACAATGGGCCAGGGCCCAGGCGACAAACTCAAGGAACGGGCCACGTTTCTGGAAAAGCTGCAACGAGCGGCCGTCACACCCGGCTTAGATACCCCACCATGCCAGTCGGGCTTGGCTCCAATATTCTCTGCTCGATGCGGGCAGTGCAATTTAGTATTTGACTCGGTCTCCGAATTGGAGGTCCACAACGGAACGCATCACAATGGCCACTGTGGCAAGGAGATTACCGCTGACGCCGAGGCGCAGCGACGACACATAATTGCCCTTTTCGAAGACGACATCTGAATTATCCAAAGAACTGTTTTTCCTTTTTTTTAACTTGTATTATTTATTTATTTTATGTCTTTATGTTTCCCACTTGGGATTACCTCCAACAAGGTCCTATCACATTCTCATGTAGTCGAAGCCAAGGGCTTTACTCGTTTATACAGACCAATAAAGAGATTCGCAAGACTTAACCTTAAATTTATGCGTATATTTCCAAGCGATCTAGGACCAGGTTGGAGTCACAGATGTTTAGCTCTAGGAAATTCCTGAGCAGCCGCATTAGGTCCTTGCTTAGCTGAGCTTCGCGAAGTGCAAAGAGCCGGTTAAGGACACTCACGAAATGCTCTGGATTTGCCAGGACTCCTAACAGTGTAGCGTCGCCCATGGCCGCCAGATTGCCCAGGACTCGCACTCCGTAGAACAGGCTCAGCTTGTCCGAAAAGGAGCTTAAGTCTTGACACAACAGGCTGGCTCCGAAGAAATTCACTAGACCCTCAGCTTGCTGGACACCGAGGCCATGATCAGGCCGCACAACTTCCAGCTGGTGCACGATGTACATGAAGTACTCGCTGGCAGGATCCCCAAGACGCTTCTCGTGCAAGTGCTGTGTCAGGTATTTCCGCTCCTCGACGTTCACATGCTCCAGGGCGTGGGTGGCCACCATAAACAGGCAGATGCCGGCGTCCTCTTGGCATCCACTCGGTTCGCTGGCGGGCGTCGTGTACAGCTTCCACAATTTGGACACCAGCTGCATCTGGAGCAAGGTCTGGGCGGCCTTATTGCAGGTGGCAAGGATGTTGGCCAGTGTCCACAGACAGCTGTGCTTTAGCCGCTCCTCCTTTCCGTCCAAATAGGTGACCATGTAGCTGCCCGCCAGAGTCGCTATCTTCTCGGACACATGGGCCTCGCCCAGGGAAAGGTTGCACAGACACTCGACGGCATCGATCTGGCGCTGAATGTGAGGTCCTGTTAGGAGATTCCCATCATTTAACATAGTAAGATTCTCTCTGGGTCATATAGTTACCCGATAGCTCCTTGACCAGCACCTGTATGGCGCCAGGAATCGCTGCGAAGGCGTTGATATTCTCGTTCCCCTGAAGGAAGGCCAGGGCCAGGCGGTAAAGGTCCTCAGAGGTCGCATGCTTTCGACGCTTAATCCTAGAGGCCAGACCAAGCACATCTTTGATGCCCAGGTCCTCGAGTGTCGCCACCTCTTTCTTGATCTGTCCCAAGCCCAAACGGAGCGAGTCCTTTGCTTGGATTCGGCACTCCTGGCGCTGTTCGCGGGCGTACACGCGAATCTTGCTCCGAAGAGCAGAGTTTTCTGGTAGAGGAGCCGGTTCAGAGGACATTAAGGTATTTGGTGTGCTTTGTAAACGAGGATAAATTTTAAAATCAACACTTGTTGAGTTGACTTTTAAAGAATAACTCGGTTCATGCGTTGAATTTCGTGAATTAAAAGAATCGTAAATAAAATAAAGTGACACAAAAACAACTTAGAAGAAAACTATTTAAAAATTTAAGTTATTTTGAGAACTTTTAATAAACTTGCATTCCAATATTTCAATATCGCAAAATACTTACCTATATTTCACTACTTCAATATCATGTATTTGTAGAATTCTTAAAGATGTTCGCATAAACCGTAGGCAAGACCAACATTTTGTAATGTCGTAAAACAAGGAAACAAACACACCCAAGAAAATGTACATATATGTATGATTGTTTGCAAAATTCACATAGAAAATGCTTAAATATTAAAAAAAACAACAATTTAAAATTGTTAACAAACATCTGTTAAAAAATATCGCACAATACAAAAAATATCGTTACTAGCCAGTAAGATCGATGTATCGATATTCTTATTGCTGGTACTCCCAGCCCTAGTGGTGTTAGGCGAAAATTTAACAATTGAATTCCAAGTTAATTAACTTTGAGAGCAATTGCCGTGGTCAGCAGTGGTGCAGCAGGCGAGTGCAACACAATGCAGGTGTGAGCCGCTGGTCCGGCGCCGTCGCACAACAGCACGATGCACTTTTCCATACCGGACACGCAGGAGCTGGGCTCCTCGCCCACCTACACAGCATACAACATACACATCAACGGCGTCTACCACTGTCGATTGCGTTACAAGCAGCTCCACTCGCTCAACGAGCAGCTGCGCAGGCACTGCGGGGGCGTAAGTCTGCCGGCGTTTCCCCCGAAACGCCTTCTCCCGCTGACCAATGGCCAGCTGGAGACGCGACGTAGTGCTTTGGAACAGTACCTGCAGATGGTGGGCCAGGATGGCCGCATCGCCCGGTCCGCCCACATGCAGCAGTTCCTGCAGCGCGCTCAACTGGATACGGCGCTGGCCGAGGATATGGTAACTAGTGACTGTGAAGAGCAGCAGCTGGAGGTGCAGGTGTACACGAGTCCGGCGAGTGAACGCCTTCTGGTCAGCTGCAGCGTGCAGCAGAACGCAGGGGCTCTGCTAAAAGCCGTCTGCCAGGAGCTCCAGCTGCCCGAGGATCTAACGCGCTTCTTCTGCTTGTTCCTCGTGCGTCGAATGCGAAAAACGGATGAGATGCACCTGGTGCGCCGACTCATGGACTTTGAGTCGCCGTACATAACGCGCCTGCACGTTCAGCCTTGCGATCTGCTGCTGCGTACCTGCTACTGGGACTCTGGACTGGACGCCAAATTGACTGGAAGCAAGGTGGCTCTCAACCTGCTGTACAACCAGACAGTGGCCGATGTTGGCCGCGAGTGGGTGGTTATCTGTTCGCCGGGCGTGGGCCGTCAGCTAGGCAGCCTACAGCAGCAGGGAAGATCTCGGGAGTACATGGATTTGGTGCGCCAGCTGCCTTCCTACGGGTGCCTGCAGTTCGATGAGGCAGAGGTAGACTACCCAGAGCCAAACACAATGGCGCTGGTTAGCATTGGCAACAAGGAGCTAAGCCTACGAACTTCACGCGGCGCCAAGATCTACGAGACCAAGTTTCGTGTGACTAGGATGCGGTCGTGGCGCGTTAGCGTCACTCACAACCCCCTGGAGGCCCGCTTGGAACCCACGCACCTGCAGCTGGCTTTCGAATATCTGATTGCAAAGCAGACGCTGCGATGGATAACCATCACTAGTGGTCAGGCTATGCTGATGTCCGTATGCCTGCAGGCGATGGTCGACGAGCTGCTCAACCGAGGAGGAGGCGGCAAGGCGGATCCCAACAGCGACGATGAACAGGATCAGCCGGCAGTTACCTCGTCCTCATCTACGCCCAGCTCAACTTCCTCTACATCGACATGGGCATCTTCCACATGCTCTGCGTCCACAGCGCCCTCAACGCCGCCAGTTAGGTTTTTATCCGAAGACTTGGTCCCCAGGTCGAAGCAGCAGCCCAGGCTGACGTCCCGCACCTTTGGAGCTGTATTCTTCCGCAACGACGGGGCGGACAATGGAGCTCGGGTGTCCAACGAGGCGTTTGAAGGCATTGGAGATGATGATCTATAAATGTGCTGAGGCAATTGCCAAAACGAATGCTTTTTCGGAGAGATTAGAGGAGCCGCCAAACTAGTTGTAACTCCAAGTGCAGGTGTAGGTGCAGACACAGAATATTAACTCATTTGATGTAATTAAGGTTAAAGATTTTATATGTGTGTTATAACCAGACTACTTCCTCTCTCTGCTACTCGCCAATGTTACAAAACCGAAGCCGAGGTTGGCGTAATATGTCCTTTACTCAATGGAAGTGCAGACGAGTGGCGGGATGAAGGAAATGAATGCTCAAGATAAATGGCTCGTTTTACCAGCATTATTTATATATATATCTACATGTTGAATTATTGTAAATGCTCTGTAAATGGAATTCTTATGACACATTTTATCTCTTTTTTTTATTATTTTTGTATTGTAATATATGTACGTACGTGAACTTACCTTACTTTAGCGATAGTGAAATATGTTATGCATTTTAAACAATAAATGTACTGATAACTACAGTAAATGTATTAGGCATTCGCGTGGATATTTCTCTAAAAAGAAAAACGAAGAAAACAAATACATTCTCGAAACTGTTGATTGACTTCCAAATGCAACCTGTAAAACGTTTTAAAATACATTTGTGTATTATAAACTACTGCGTCCAAGTGTTGTCTTTAGTATCTTAGTTTTAGAGCTTAAGATTTTCATAGAAAAATCGGAATATTTTTGAGGCGAATAATTATTTGGTAATTATTAAACATATTTTTTAATAATTGATTTAAAAATTAAAGCACATTATGATGGAGATTGCAAAAAAGTAAGATACCAATAGATGCATTTTTGATTTATTTATTTATTATTTTTTAAAACGATGATTATGTGAATTTTGTTTTGTTTATGAAGAAAGAATAACTTGGTGCTAATATTTTAATGTTCCAATATTGACCTTTTAAAAGCTTTTTATTTTCAAAATTTTATTAATTTTTTTTTAATATTATTTAAATAAATATTTCTTTTAATATTACAGTTAATCACAAGAAAGTAAAATAAAATGTTAAGACCTGGAATTTATTAAATTTTAATTTCAATGGAGTTCCCCAAATATTTTTCAAAAGTGCTACAAATATTTAGTGTGGCATTGTACTAAACATCTGGCTTTTTCAAACTTTCCGCGGCGGTCACACTGCTGCTAAAGAGAAAATTGAGGGAATATAAATAACTTTTAAGCGATAAACAAGACGATTTGAGGATTAATATCTCACAGCAAGGACACATCGAAATGGATCGCAATAACGGGTATGAAAATATAATGGCAGGACTTGCCAATCCTCCTGCAATCCCATGTAAAAGCGGTCTGTGCGCATTGTTGGACGACAAAAGACCGTGTTTACATACATATAAACATACGCACAACCCTCGATATATACATGGTACTCGTATATACGTTTGTAAATATGTTTTCGCTCTGCTCTATCTCCAACCATAGACGCTACCCCTACAATATACGGCGACAGAACAGCGGCGGCGGCGGCCACAATGCTCTCCACAGCTACCACCACCACCATCACAGCAACAACAACAACAACGTCGGCTCATCCTCGTCACCGGCGGGGGCGACGTCCAGTGCATCTGGCTATAGCAATCACAGTGCCGGCAACTCACCCTCATCGCTGGGCGGGCACAGCAGCAGTAGCAGCAACAACAGTAATGCCGGTGCAACCTATGGCCAAGGTGCCGCCCAGAGCCAGAATCTGCCGCTATCTCAGCATGACGAGCTGATCCGGTACATCCATGAGGCCTGGAACAAGGTAAGCAAGCGTCTGGTATTTTGGAATAGGGCCATCCACTTGTCACCCTCTATCTCTTGCTTTCTGCCCCGCGGCAACCAGGGACCGTAGATTTTCTGATATTTGTTTGAAATCTAAAGAATGCTTTCTTCTTGACGAAGCTACGTGGAAACTTTTCCATTACCAAACTTTAAATGTTAATAAGCCTACAAATGTATTTATAAATATTAATAGGTAAGGTTATTTTGTCATCTCTGTCTTCGGGGATAAGTCAATAGAGAATATTCAACTGCAGTCCAAAAAGCAAATTGTAAATAATTAATTTTAAAGAATTTTTTTAAAAGGTTTATTTCAACTTTCTCAATATTTGTAGCCCAACTCACTTTCAATTCTATATTCTACGAAATCTTTATCTTTAAATATAAAAGAATTATGATGATTTTAGTTCCTGCTTTATAAATAAAAAATATACATATTTCTAAATGTTATCCTTTTATTTATTAAGATCTATTTTAAAATCTCATTTGCTACGGTCCCTTTCGTGATATTATCGGTTGCTCTTCATGCTTTGCCAAACAACACTTTTCGCTTCAGGTTAAGGAGCAGGGCCCACCTGTGATCTACTGCAACGAATCTGATAATCAGCTGAAAAACTTCAAGCCATTCGATCTGGAGGAGTACTGGGGCCAGCGCCTGATCCAGAACATTCACGTGACGCCCACACAGGCCGGGGGACACCAGTAGGCCGGATGAAAATGGGAATCTTACAGACGGACTACGGCATGTGCTTCATGTGCTAACAATTAATTAAATTATATACACAAAACGGGAGGGGTGCCAATTTCCCCATGATTTTGACTACTTTCCATGTGATTGGAATTTACACTTTTTATTTTTGTGCGCCTTTGCTTTGGACTATTAAATTTGAAAAAAATTTGTATAAAAAAGAGAATCCACTGCCAGCTGAAAGGCAAATGATACATGCAATAAATAAAATTATTGGCTGACTTTCTCTCCCCCCCAATGGCACCCCTAATTTAGCATGCTGTCTGCATTTAAGTGTTGTGCATTAAGCGCGCTTTAAATTTTGACCAGAACAACAACAATAAACAAATTTTAGAGCGTAGAAAAATATATAAAGAATTCTGGCTTTTATTTATGGAATTTAATTGAACAAAACGGCAAGTATTAAATTAAAATAAGAATAGCAAATATGCAAGAAAAAAGTATTTATATTATTAAAAATAAAGTTTTTTCCTTGCCAAGTGGATGATGGATGCTTTAATGAAAACATTGATAATAATATAATGTCTTGCAAGCTACATGGCTATTAAATTAATCATTTATATGCATCTCTAGTGAATACAATTTAATTTGTTACTAAAAGTACATAAAACTCTCTAAGTGAGAGTTAAAAATTTGTCAATGGATGAACTATTTTAATATAGATTCTATTTTGTAAACTAATCATAGTTTGAGATTTTAATGAAACTTTAAAGTTAAAAATGTTCTAGTCAAACATCAAACTATAATCGTTGATAATATAATTTAAAATTAATATTTTATCTGAGATAGTTTAACCAGATTTTAGTCAACCATTGATAGTCTGCTTGTTTTTCAATTGTTTCCCAACAACAACAAATCAAATAATCATTAATGAATTGAAAGTTATTTTTAGCACAAATCTAGACTAAAAGATATGAAGGTGCACACACCAGCTTAGCAGAGGTATGCACCTGCAGACTCGGATATGCAACGTAGACACGCATCGCACACACACACACACACCGCCTCGAAGCAAAAACACTGCTCTTTTTGTACTGAACGGCAATTCGTGGTTTATAAAAGTTACTTTTATTTCTTCTCTCACTGTTTTACATCATACCGCGCAGTTGCTGTCGTTCAACACAAGCGTTAAGCTCACTGCCTCCTCAGACCATCTTGCGCAGCAGACGGTTGATCTGGTCCTCGCGGTTGCCAAAGTCGCCGCCGTTGACGTAATGGTTGGCCTTCTTGCGCCAGCCGCCGGTGGGCGTGTTGAGCTTGAAGGGCCACAGGAAGTTGGAGGCGTACTTGAAGTTGGGGCCAACAGTGAAGATCTCGTGGACAAGATCCTCAACGCACTGAATGTTGTGCGCCTGACGGAGCTTGCGCTCGATCACAAAGTTGTCGGTGATGGGCACACGCTGACGGCTGTGCTTCACGAAACCGCGCTTGTAGATCAGCGAGCGCACCGACTTCAGGTTGGGGTAGCCCCAGGTGATGTAGGGCTCGGCAATGCGGAGCATGTTAATCGTAGCCTTGTTCAGCTTGATGAACACACCGTTGTTGATCTGGCGCAGACGGAACAGCTGGAGGACCTTGCGGACCTTGGGCGCCACCTTGTTGATACTGCAAGCGAGCGGGCGGGAGAGATTAGGGCTTTGGCCGGAAAGCGACACAACACACTACTCACCCGCGGATACGGACAACAAAGGCCAGCTTGGCCTCGGCGGGCACGTAGAACTGGTTGCGCTTCTTGGCCAGGCGACGGAGCTTGATCTCACGCTGATCGGCCTTGATGTACTCATTCTGGTACTTCTCGGCACGCACCAAGTTCTCCTTCTTGCGCAGCGCGATGACAGCGGCACGCTTCAGGCGACGTTTCGACTCGGCGACCCGCTTGCTGATTTGTTTCTTGCTGAACTTCAGCTTGGATTCCGGCACAGCGGGCAGCTTTTTCGCTGCTGGTTTCTTGGCGACCGGAGCTGGCATCTGTGGGCAGCGAAAAACAGTTCCATTTGAGCGCGCTTGTCTCAAGTTAAGGGGTATTTTTTTCAAAAATATTGCACTAACCTCTTACTGGTCACTACACACGCTGGTAAAAGAAAGGGAAAGAAAGACCGGAAACGTGCACTACACCATGTACGAGCTGTCAAAACGGGTCAAAGCAACCCTGCGTGCCAGTGTTGGTCAGCGAGGCGACCTATCGAAGAAGCGGCCACACTGTCCGATAGGCAACTATCGAAAAAGCACCATCCCTAGAGCAGCAAGAGAAGTCCGCGCGAATTTGTGTGTTTTCGGTAAGTTTTTCATTTTCTGAGTAATTAATTGATTTGTAAGCGTTAATTAAATGTTTAGGGGCTTCCTCATTTATATATCATTATCTTTTCAGACGGCTGGCGACCGGAATAGTGTAAAACACCAACTATTTTAACTTTACACATTTCTTACCAACAGCTGATCCGAATCTATTGTTTAAATAAAGTTTAACTTGTTCTAATGAATTCCACTCAAAGTCCGGTGTACCACACATCCGTTGAACAAAAGCGGCATGCTCAGGATGTGGCCAGGAGGCAAAGGATGGGCAAGCAAATGCCAAAACTGCGCGAAATGCTGCGAGAGGTAATGCAATTTAATAAATAAAATAAAATAAAATACAACAATAAAAGTATTCTTAACCGTTGCAGAAGTACCGCAAGCGCATTGTTGAAACCCGCAAGAAGTGCACTGACTCCAATCGTGAAATACAATTGGTATTTTAAAGGTTATCCCATAAATCAGCTTAAAAAATTAATTAAAGTTTCCCTTTCCAGTCAGAACTCAGGGAAATTCTTCGCCAGGAACTCACTGAGTTGGAGCACGACTTGGATCTGGAGCAACTAATCCTGGACGAGCTGCTCTCTGATGTGAACGAGTGGTACGCCCTGGGAGAACAGAACCTGGAAACGCTCTACGTTGAGCCAGATGATCAGCCAAAGGAGGTTCTGTGCCCCGTTTGCCAGATGAAGCCCTTGCAGCGTCAGAAGAAGGGTTACCTCTGCGAGTGTGGCGTCAAGTTTGAACACTCGGCTGACATGGAACAGCTCCAGAGTTTGCTGCACCAGCAGATAGTCAGCCACGAGGTAAAGTGCACTCAGGCACTGCGCTTCTTTATTGAACCCTCTTCGGGGCACCTGTACAACATGTGTGGCAGCTGTGACTACTTCTCCTCTGTTTAGTTTCTTGTCTTAGTGTTCCTTTCGCTGGCTGCGTCCAGCATAGAATATACGTGATATTTGAGCTAGCAAGTAAGTTTATGTTATCTACAATTGACTTAATATACTAATCAATGTTTGTTATTAACAATAATTACCTACATACGTACATAGATATAAAGTAACAATATTCTAAGCTGAAGAATTTATCCTTTACATTTATTTTCGATGTTTTTTGTATATTTAATTCTTAAATTTAAATTAAAATTGATTAGTAAGTCCAGTAATTATTCAAATTTAATTATTCCTGTTCAATGCACCCGAAATCCACTCAGGAACCACTCCTACTCACCCAAAACCCATCAAAAGACAACCAACAAACAACGTAAAATCCACTCATTTTCCCTTTTTTTCGACCTGCTGCGTATCATCACGGGCTGTGAGGAAGAGCTTTTCTCAATCGGACACGTGCACGATCCGCCCGATGATCAGTGCAATATATATATGTATATATGTATCTGATCTCGTTCGGGTGGCTGCAAACGTCTTCGTGATTTTTCCGGCGTGCGCAAAGAGCTCGCTTAGTGCGCTGCCATGCTCGGACGCGGTCGGTCGGCCTCTTCTTCTCTAGAAGATTTCAAAATCGCGGAAAACGTGCGCCACACACAATTCCATATCTCTCATCTTGCTGCTATTTTGTTTATTCAAAAAAGACCAAGAAAAATTACTTTAAATAATAATAATTGAATGGCAAGCTGTGGATGCGACCGACAGCCTCTCGGTTGGAAAGGGAATTAATACAACTCACATAACACATATTGCAGTGCATATTCCGATTGCGAAATAGTTTGTTTATATTGAGAATTTCTTCTGAATTTTACTCAACCTGTTGTTGTTGAACGCGAAAAAGTCGAAAAGTGAATGCCTCAAGAATCGTATTTAATTGTGGCAATATATGTGCATATATACAAAAAAGGAATATGCGCAACGGGAAGAAAATACAGATTTTTGAAATAAAACCAGAAAAGTGAAATCGTTTTTGAGGGAGGAGAGTCACAGATCCGGCGCCAGCGTAAACTTTAGATAACATAATTAAATTCCTACGGGGCTGGGCTATATGAGTCCGTTTTATTGGCCATCATGAAGCACTTGTTCAATATAATACACTGTGATCATTTAAATGGTCATGTACGCTCTATTTACGATAACTTAAATACAGATGTTTGCGGCATTGATCGTGTGAAGCGTGTTTTTACGTGTCTGAGTATTATTCTGTTGCTTTGTGGATGGCTATTTGTTTGGCAAAGATATAAAAAGTGAGTAATTGTAATAGAACCTTATAATAGACATAAGTAATGCCTCAATCCACCAAAGTTTTCAGAACGAGTGAATTCAGTGCGAAACAAAAAGCTGTATTGACACATTTTTAAGCTAAATTTAAAGAATTTTCCAACTTGTTTTATTTGTTTTGCATCGCCACCGATTAAACATGTGTGCTTTTGTATTGTTTACAATGAGTTAGCACTCTCCATTAAGCGCTATTTTCTCTCTTTAAAATTGTGTAAAAGCATGTGCTAAAATAGGGTCACTTGGCTCCTTTGATGGAGTGCTTCCTGAGATCATCGTAGGAGATTTTTACTATCCAGTTCGCTTCTGTGCTCAATTCACCACTGAAACAAAATTAAATCTGTGGATATTTTTCTCAAATGTATTTGTAGGCGAATGAGCACATTTGTTTAAATTTAGCACATGCGTTTTGTAGATTATACAAATTCTGGAGAGGGATGACCATGGAGCTGGAGAAGTTGATTTATGTCTTTGATTTTATAAGGCGATTCATTTCTAAATTGTCCGCGTTCTTTCGTAATTAAATGTTTTTGTTTCAAAATTAAAGCCTGAGTTTTGCAAACCTATTGGAAACTTTAAACAAACTTTTATAAATAATTATTTTACTCTTTATATTAATTGAGTTAAAGTTTTCATTTCAAACTCAACATATTCTTAAAAGGTTTACTTAACTATTGAGTCGTTTTTATATAAAATATTTAACTTTATATTAAGAAAACTCTTTAATAAAATATATAAAGCCTAGCTAAAACATTAAAACTGCATATATTTTTCCAGTAAATCATCCTTGTTCTCTTTTTTTAACCTTATAATTACATAAAATCAGATTATTTCTCTTGTAACATTTTAAAAAAACCACTTAAAAACCAATAATTGATATCCGGAACTCAAGTGCATTCGCCATTGAGAAATATTTGTTTGTGCATCCCGCACGGCGAAATTAAAATAAAAACCCATAAATGCATACGGAATTCGGGAAATAACGCGACGCGTGCCCAAGTGTTCTCAATGAGTGAAATCTCAATTGCCTCTACACCTCACTTTGTTTTGAGGGTGCACATTTCTATATAAATTAAAATGAATAGATATACGCAATCAATATCGTTATTAATTACAGTATGTATCGTATGTACATATGTCTGGTTGCCTCGAGAATTAAACAGAAATTGAAGAAAATATAAGAGAACTAGTAGTAAATAATAAATTTATTTAAATTTTGCTCTTGATTTGTGGGCTTAATTTTAAAAGTTAAAATATAGAAATAGAAGACTTTTTTATAAATAGAGAACAATTCAAGCCGAATGCTTATTCATAATTAATCTTTTACTGCAGGTGCCATAAAACATTGCTAATGTTCCACAATGTACGTGCCGCCGTTTCCCTGCTCCTGCTGGGTGCAAATAGTCTGGAAGTGGCTCAGACCCTTCTGCCCCACCGGAGTGTCCGTCAGCTCAACCAGCTGTTTGAGTTCAGCCCCAGAGAACGGAATTTCCTGATCGTTATTGGTCCGGGAGAAGCGTGGAATGCACTTTTCGCCACACTGCTGACACTTACGCTAATGCTGTATCATCGCATTGTGGAGCGCAAGAAGGCGACAGGTGAGTGTTGCTTGACACAGCCATCTGTAAAGATATTCGTTCACCTGTCCCATGGGTGTCCCCTTTTTTATAGTATTTCTATATGTTAGTACTGCCGTGGAGGTGGTGCTGTTTGCCCTGCGCATCAACGAACTGTCCGAGTTGGTGTATTACGAGGATGTCCTGGAGCTTCAGACGTGCCTGGTGGGTGTGTCAGCCATGTGTATGATGGCCTTGGCATCGCTGGATGGTTTTACCATTTATAAAGAGGTAAGCTTAACTATATTTTAGGTCAAATTAATATTAGGTTTTGGTAATAGCTAAATCACAACTCCTTAAGATAGGGTATAAGGATTAACTTAGACCAAGGCAACTGCCTATGATTACGGGAATGAAAAAAGCTTGTTTTTAATTCCACAGCCAAATAAGTACAAGTTGACATAACGGGAGAGGAAGCGAAAACAGCGTAATGCGATTTGCATTGTTTAAATTTTAATTGAGGTTAAGCGCAGATTTTAAGCTTAATGCTTTGTATACTTGGCGAATATTTTATTTATTTCCTTATGCTAGCAACAGGACAAGCACGGAAATAACAACAGTAGGAAAAAAGGCTCAGCGATGAATAACTATATGAACTATACCCTTTTCTGACAGTGTTATCACGACGACTATTTAGACGACCGCGGCAAAATCGGCTACAAGCACTCGCTGGCCACATTTTATTCCAAGTCCTGCTTCTGGTGGCTGACTCCTCTGCTCTGGCTGGGCTACAATGAGCCGCTAGAGCTCGAGGATCTGGGGCAAATGAAATTGGAGGATAGTGCCAGGTCCCATTACGACCACTTTCTATATGTTTACACAGAGGAGGTGGTAAGCAAATATTTATATTCATACATATTGCGCTCGTATAATTTTCCAACTTTGATCCACAGAAAAAATCGAACGCGTCGCCATCCTTGTGGTATTGCTACATAAAGAACAGTTGGCGCATGTTTGCTTTGGGCGGCATTTTGAAGCTGACCGCTGATTTATTTGCATTGATTGGACCGTTGGCCATACAGAAAATAGTGCAGTATATAGAGCAACTTTATGCCGATGTCGCCGCCGCCATGCCCGAACATCGGAGTCAGCAGGAGGGCGACTCCGACTCCAAGTCCAGCCTGCTGTCCACCTCCAGTGTGAGCAACGAATTCGACGAGGTCTTCGGCACCAACATTGGCCAGGTGAGGGTTTACTGCAACACCTGGTCGGATCTGTTGGCGAATGGCTGGTGCATCGCTTGGATTGTCCTGCTGGCCGCGTTAACGCAGGGCGCATTGTCGCAGGCCTCTACGCACATCCTGAACATGACGGGGCTCCGGATTAAATCGTCCCTGCAGGGTCTGATTTATAGAAAAAGTTTGCTCCTAAATTGGGGTGGAGGCGGCGGTGATTCGGATGAGAAACCTAAAAACGATGATTCCAAAGGAGCTTCAGAGCAAGTGGAAAAGTCGGATGGTAAGTAAACATTTTTGGGGCAATATGAAATGGGTACATTTTAAGAATTATGAATAATACAATATGAATACTAAACTTTTACTTTTGGATAAATTGAAGATAATATAATGGGTTTCTTAAGAGTAAAGTCACAAGAATTTCTAGGATTTATTTTTACAAAAGGTGAATTATTTCTTAGCAAGTAAAATCAAATCACTTAAGAATTATTTCTATTAGCTTCTTAGTTCTTAATATTTAAAAATGCACAACATTTCCTTAATTTCTATTTTATTTTTCCTTAGATTCAAATGGCACCAATGACATTGGCAGCATCACCAACCACATGACCGAGGACACTTTGAACATAATGCAATTCTTCTTGATCATCCACTATGCCTGGGCCATTCCATTTAAAGTTCGTACTGAGATTTGGCATAGGCTAATCGTTTTTAACAATTTATGAGCAACTTGTGTGCCATTTGGGCTCCCTAGATGTTCGCTAACATGAACCTAATTTATAGCATTGGCCGTTTGACAAATTCTCAACTTGGAGGAGAGCGAACACAAATGTTTTTTAATTTGTTATTTAATCGCCAGGCTGTAAATTTAATTTTATATAACATTTGGCTTGTTTATTGTGTAATTGCACATAACTTTATATATAAATGTTTGCCTTAACAGTTGCAATACGAGTTTACTTGACTTGCCACACCATTAAAGCTGCCTCTTTTAACTATACACCTTTCTTAAAATATCATTTTTTTTAGATATCTGTGGTTATATACTTATTGTATGTAAACTTGGGAATAAGTGCAGTAATTGGCTCCATTGTTTGCATTCTGATAATGACGCCTCTGCAATTTGTCATAGGAAATGCAATGTCAAAGAACGCAGAGATTATCGCAGTATGTATGCATTTGCTTTTGTATTTATTTAAATTATTAATTATAAATTTGTTTATATTTTCCCTTAACAGAAATACACCGATGAACGTTTGAAGAAAATACACGACACTCTGGTTGGCATTAAAGTCATTAAACTCAATGCCTGGGATGAGGTGTTTCTTAAGAAAATTCAAGTGGCAAGAAAGAATGAGCTCAAGTATCTCAACAGGGATGCCACATATTGGACGCTAATGGGTGAGGAGTCATATCACGAAAATACGTACTCCTTGTCTAAAATAATAATTTAATTTATTCCGTGAAACAGCTGTCCTTACCCATATTGCCACTGTGTTAATAACCTTCGTGACCCTGGGCGTCTATGTGTGGTTACAGCGGGATCAGGACTTTGATTTGAATGCCAGCCGTCTCTTCTCTTCATTGGCCCTTTTTCAGCAGCTCACAGTGCCCCTGCTGATCTTTCCCATCACGGTGCCCATCATCATAGCAGCCAGGGTGTCCACTCGGCGTTTGGAGCGATTCCTGAAGTCCAGCGAGATCCACAAGCAGTTCGAGGGTATTCGAAATATGGCCAGAATACTGAGCAAAAGCGACGCCTCTTTGGATATGTACGAGACCCAGGAGAAGTCCAACATGACGATGCGAACAGCGCAGGCGGAGAACAAGTTGAACGAGAAACGGCTGGCCCAACAATTTGGTGTTCCTGAGACCGCCGTGGAGCTGCCACTGCCGACTACTTCTACTCCTCTGCTGCAAAGCACCGAGGAAGAGGTTGGTGGCGTCGACATCGGCTTGTCCTCTGTCCAGGAGCTGGGTCACAACAAGCTAGTGCAACAGCGACGAGAACTGCTCCGAAACACGCCCTATGTGGCCATACGGCCTCCGAAAATGCGTGGCCCTAGTGGAGGAATGGAGAAGCCCGTGGAATTCTCGGTGGTGCGTGCCAGGAATACGGATAGCTGGCGTCGCGATTCCCTGCTATTGAAAATGCCCGATGACATTGCCGTGTCGATCAACGACGGACTCTTCACATGGAAGCCGCAGAGTCAGATGCCACTGGTGCAACTGCATGTTCCCGGAATCATCGTGCCCAAGGGAAAAATGACCATTGTGGTGGGAAAAAATGGAAGCGGAAAGACGTCGCTTTTGTCAGCCCTGCTCATGGAAATGCCACTGCTTGTGGGCAATATGTTTTGGCACAAGTGAGTCTATATCTGGGGGAAACTAATTTAATTATAATTAAGCATACAGAGCCACAGAGTTAAATATTATATAGTTAAATAGGGGGGTGAATAAATTTGGATGTACTTAAATCGATAGCAACAACTTGTTGTTGTTATCTTAGGCTACATTGCTTTTCAGTTTTAGCTTAAAAGCCTTCTCCTATTTTAAGCTGTTACGGCTCTTGTAGAATACCTTAGACCATGTCCCTGTGGCCAAGATTAAGCACGTTTCCTTGTCTGTCAACACACAGGCCACCACACCCAGCTCAACATGCTGCTCATGTAAATTTACCCAGCTATTTATGTGCTTATTTTCAGTTCTGCCAACAGCAGTTCCAGTAGCTACGCCCCCGCCTAGTACCGGGGTAGTTAGCAGAAGAGGATAACTTTGTTTGCCCATTTATCACATTTAATTGCATAATTTTCACCTATTTTCGCATGCAGATTACCCAAGCCGCAAAATATATAGCTTATTTGGGAACTAGCACTAGTTCTAGATCGATTTTTAATGCACCCAATTTGGGGTTTTACCAGGATTTCAAAATAACATAATTAAATTAGGGCAGCAAAAGGTTGTAATAATTGAATTTAAATTGTGTTTACATATTTGCGGTTTTTATATTTCAGAGTTAAAGTACTCTGGTTAACCCATTTTCCGAAATATCAAGAAAAGTCCGGTCTAGCAGGTGGAATAGTTTAAATTTTCATTGTTGCAGCCATCGAATTCCGCCGCAGTCATTCAACATATTTTAACAGCCGTTTCAATGCACGCCACGCGATTCAGTAATTTATCACAAAACGCCTGTGTGTACGTTGTTAATTTTATTGCACATAAAATAAAAATGGCATCGTGGCAGGCTGCAGCTTCCCTGCGAAGTGGGGAGACTGGGCTCCTCCCCATATACAAATGCATTTAACAAGTGGAAATCGCGGAGCGGAAACGAAGACGGGTGTGCACTTCGATCCTGTGGCCTTTGCTTCTATTGCTTCCTCCTTGGGGAGGAAGCAGGACTGCTCCATTTCCATTTCCATCTCCGTCTCCGTCTCAGTATCCTTGCCTTGGCAAACGGCAAATGTGCAATAATTTCAATTACTGTAATAAATGTCTATGTTAGTTCGAGTACGTTTTTTCGCTGTGGTATCTTCAGGGTTTTCCCTACTTTTCTTTTTTTTCCTTTTTGGCTTGCAAATTTATGTTTGCTCCATATGTACCGTCTGGCATATATACCTATATTAAATAGGAAATCTTTTGTGCTCCAAGGGAAGTCAATGTGTAGCAACTGATTTGAAGAACTTGTGTAACAACCAAACATAGAAAAAAGTTAATCAAATGAAATGGTTATTAAATATTCTTTAATTTCTTACTTTCCAGAACCTGCACCATATCCTATGTGTCCCAGCAGCCATGGCTTTTGAATGACACCATTCGGGAGAATATTCTTTTTGGCGAGTCCTTTCGTCCCAAACGATATGACTTTGTGATAGAAGCCTGCGCTCTTAAGCCGGATATTGAACTAATGCCCAGAGGCGATCTCACCATTATCGGAGAGCGTGGCATTAATATTTCCGGAGGACAAAGGCAGAGAATTGCCATAGCCCGAGCTATATATTCATCGGCTAATGTGGTCATAATGGTAAGTTTGGGAAATATACTTTCTACAAGGACAGAAATTGATTATGGGAATGAGAAAGAATAGCGCTACTAGGAAAAGTAAGACATAAATATTAATTCTCCCTTAAATCTACCCACCTTTGACTCATCAGTATAGTAGATATAGGCCCCCTTCGAAGTTCGATCTTCGATCTAGTTATATATATTTTCAAAACCTTCCAAAATGTCGTTCGACCAAAAGGAGATCTTCAGCCTGATGTACAAGCTGGCACGACTAATAGTGCCGGATACCAGAGTCGAAAATGATTCCGAGGGTCCAGTACACATTCCCCTGGATCGGATGTATGGACCAATGACCATGCGATCCCTGATGAAGTTTCCCATTGGCGGAGTCGAAGAGCGCATGCCAGTATATATACATCCATAAAATTCTGTCTAGAAATATCCCTTAAGCCTGCATACTCCCAGCGACCCATTATAAAGGCCATGGGTATGGTAAAGAAGGCGGCTGCCGAGGCAAACAAGATGAATGGCATGGAGGAGCGTCTGTGCGAGGCCATTTCCAAAGCCTGCGACGATGTTATATCCGGCAAGTTGTACGATGAGGAGCACTTTCCCCTGGTCATCTGGCAGGCGGGATCCGGAGAGCATACCAACATGAATGTCAACGAAGTGGTTTGTAACCGCGCCATCGAGATCATTGGCGGCCAGATGGGCACCAGGGAGCCGGTGGACCCCAATGAACATGTCAACCTCTCGCAGAGCCCCAACGACACCTTTTCCACGGCAGTTCGTATCGCCGTGGCCATGGAGCTGCAGGAGAAAATGTATCCGGCCCTAAGGACCTTCGTTGATTTGCTGGGCAAGAAGTCGAGCGCTTGGGCAGTAATTGTCAAGATAGGACGTACCCATCTGATGGACGCTGTGCCGCTGACCCTTGGTCAGGAGTTTAGTGGCTATTGCCAGCAGCTTACGAACGGCAGAGCTCGGCTGGACTCTGCTTTGGACCGGCTGTACGAGCTGCCCATGGGTGGTCATGAAGTGGGCACGGGCCTGAACACTAAGCAGGGATTTGATGAAACGTGCATTAAACGGATCGCCCAGATATCGTGTCTGCCTTTTGTAAAGTCTCCAAACTTCTTCGAGTCCCTGTCCACGTGCGACGCCCTGGTGGAATTGCACGGAGAGCTCAACACCATAGCAACGAGTCTGATGAAGATAGTCAACGATATCCGTTTGCTGGCATCGGGACCCCGCAGCGGTCTGGGCGAGCTCATTCTTCCGGAGAACGAAACGGTTAACCCGCTTGTGCCCGGCACCGTGATTCCCAGTCAATGCGATGCCATTAGCATGATATGTGCCCAGGTGATGGGCAATCATGTGGCGGTTTCGATGGGTGCCTGCAGCGGACACTTTCAGCTCAATGCCTTTATGCCGATGATCGCTGCAAATGTCTTGCGTTCAATTACCCTGCTTGGCGACGGCATGAGATCCTTTTGCACCAACTGCCTGGAGGGCATTGAGCCTCATAATGCAAATATCGAAAAATTCACAAAGATCTCCCTCATGCTAGTCACGGCCCTGAGCCCCCACATTGGCTATGAGCGGTCCGCTGCAATAGCCAGGGCGGCTCACAGGAATGGAACTACCCTGAAGCAGGAGGCCATGAATGCGGGCATCGATATTGATGACTTCAAGAAATGGGTGCAGATCAATGATATGCTGCAGCCCAGTGATTAGGGCAGGACAACTATTCTAATGAGGAAAAAAGGATTGTTCAAGAATGTATTTTAAAATTGTCTACATTGCAAAGTAAAATTAAAGAACTTTTACTGAGTTTTCATGGAACTAAATTATTTGTTATATTCTTTATTATATTTTAAACTCTATATTATTTATTCTTTTTGTATAAAACCTAAACTTGGATATCTCACATTAATATGTATTTTTTATTCTTTTAAGGACGATCCCTTGGCTTCCCTAGATAACGAAGTGGGAGATCATATATTTCAGCATTGTGTACGTCAGATGCTGCAAAAATCAAATCGTACTTTTATTCTTGTGACACAACAATTACATCGCATTAAAGAGGCTGAATATGTATGTTTAAAATGTTAACGTTGCTTTTAAATTGAATTTTAATTTCTTCTCCAATTATTTTAATTAGTTAATTGTTATGAAAGAAGGACGAGTTGAAGCTTGTGGCAGTTACTCTGAAATAGAACAAAAACATCCTCGTATCACAGCCAAATGGAACTCCATAATAGCCTTGGCAAAGGCCAAGAAAGATAACTCCAGCCAAAAGTAAGTATTTAATAGAAATATTCTTTGGTTTACGGATTAATATATATATTTGTTATATAGTCCAACGGATAGAACAGCCTGCGAGCGCTGGAAACTTCTGCGGAACGTGAGTAAGCTAGGATTACAGCGCTCCATCTCCGTGACCATGGATCCAGGAGGCGGTGGAAATGCAGATGCCATCGATGGTAGCGGGTGTATATCGGTAACTAATATATCATCCCACGTGGTTGAGGAGGATGAAGAGGATGATCAAGTGCCTGTGGTAGGATTTTATAATAGTTTTACACTTTTCGGTTATTTACTTATTATTCTTGATAGTCCTATTCCTGTGGCGGCTACAGCGGCTTGCAGCGTAAGCGTTCCAGCATTTATGGCTCACGGCACCTGATGTTCGATGCCCCGCTGCCAATCGATGAATGCCAAGGAGACGATGTAATTATGCGGCCTCGTCGGCGGCACACCCTGAGTCGCCGGGGCAGCAGGACGACCAACTCGTGGCATCGTCTCAGCGGTCTCAGCACGCTGACAGCGACTTCGGCCTCAAGTTCCACCAGCGGAGATGTCCTCAGCCGAAGCGCCCTGGCCACCAGCTGTAGCAGCTATGCGGAGAGCAGTGTGGATGGCAGCGATGTGGCCATTGTGCCAACAGAACCACGCGTCCAATCCTGGCAGCCACCACAGCATGTGCAGCATCAGCCTCTGTCGCGGAATGCATCATCACCACCGGCCATAGAGGTGGCCAAGGCGGAGGTAGACTCACAGGATACCGAGGCGGGAGCGAGGACGAACACAAACGGGGAGGATCAGGTTCGGGGCAGCTTCCAGCAGTTCCTGCGACGCATGTCCATGCGGCGTTCCAATAAACCAAAGAATCATCATCATCCGCTGAGCGCCACCAATTCCATTTTGTGAGTGAGATATTAATTAGTTGAGAAAATAAGTATTTAGGTTAAAAATTGTTAATTTAAATTCATATCTTTACTTTAATTTACAGGAGCATTTCAGAGGAATCGCCGCCCATTTTGCATTTTTCCTCTACCGAGATTGTTCCTCAACCCATCTCTTTACAAAAGCCTGCTGAGGTGCCGCTGGAAGCTGAGGAAAAGCCCAAAAAGTGTAAGTTAAATTTGAATTTTCTCCTAAGAAAATTTTAGTGACTAAGCCCTCGTAATCATTACTTACAAAGTTAAGTATAATCTCATAAAATCAATAACCCGCCTAGAGAGCATCAATAATAAGTTGTTTTCCTTAATTCTTAAATGCATAATGAAAATGGGAAAATGCTTCCAAGCCCAGAGAAATCGATGATAATGCATATTGATTAGGCTGGGCGTGAAAACTGCGAGAACGATGCGCACAATATATTGGCATATTATCCTCCTTGGCCCGTCTGTCTGGCAATATACTCAAGGGAACCTTCGACTCCTCCTTCTCGTTATAGTTCACTCCTAGCTGCATGCGTGTGTAGCTTAAAACTTAAATCAACTTTGATTTTAAAAGTTTTGAGCTCCCAGGCGGCATTGGTGGCGATGGCGGCTGGAAGCCAAGTCAAAGGAGACAGCGTTCCAGGGCTCGCAGGAGGGAAACTTTGGCTTAACTTGATGCATTGATCCACCAATATTTGGCTGATAAGTCAGCGGGTTCGCAGCGAAAACTTTCGATTTAATCAGTGCTGCAAGTGTCACTCCATTGAATGGAGTCCCATGTCATCCTTCCTTCCTTCCTGCCACGCAAATCTGCATCCAGGATGTAAGCTCCCCTTTCAATTAGTTTCGACTGTGCCAACTCTCAAAATTAAATGGTAGGATGGTACTTATAATTGATGTGGGCTCATGTGGCTTTGACAACAAGTTACTACTACTGATGTTTTCCTCCTCACAGTCTCTGTCAATCAAGAGTAAACCAAAAACTGTTTGCTTTTAAATCAAAAACTAGTGTTTTTCGTTTATTTTTAATTGAGGAAAAAGTCAATCAATTGCAGTTTATAGATTTCAATTAAAAAGGCGGAGACATTTTTCTTTATTCGATGCTAGAATTGAGTTTAATTTTTGATTGGATTTATAATAAGATTTGGAATTTATTGTGGTGACTTGACTAAGGTTTTAAAAGAGATATTTATTATCAAATTCTTGAAGTTTATATTATTAAAACTAAAGTAATTTCTTAAATAAATATATACCGTTACATTCAAAAATGATCTTTGTGACAATTTATCAACAATCAATAATAAAATATTTAATATTAACTAACCCATTCAAACACTTCCGAAAGGTTTTACCCTCCCATCTGAATCTTTGTTTCCATTTCTCTCACACAAAAACCAGGTGTAAATATTGACTCCAAGGGCACCACAATAAATTGCGCTGACAATGGCGAATCAGCAGCAGCAGCATCCCACAAAGAATCGGAGGCGAACGTGACATCATTGGCTCCTGCCGATGGAGGCGAAGGACACGTGCTGGCGGCTGCTTCTGCGGCCAATGCCGCCAATGAGTCCACGACGGCGATTGATACCGAACGCAAATATGGCAAAATATCGGACGACATATACCTAATGTACATACGAGCCGCCGGCCTGCCCATAATCACTGTCTTTTTTATCACCGCACTAATTTGGCAGTGTTTGCGTGTCTACACGGACGTATGGCTGCAGCACTGGAGCGATGCCCACGTGAAGGGCCAGGATGCAGGAGCAGGGGTAGGAGTAGGAGTAGGAGCAGGAGCAGGAGCTGGAGCTGTAGGGCAGAGTGGCCTCGAGGAGGAGGCCCACGAAGTCACGTACTATTTTCGCATGTATGCTGCAATTTCGTGTGTTTGCATTATAATGGCCCTGGTATCAACACCGGCCGGACAATGGGCCGGCTGTAATGCCCGTCGTAATTTGCACGATAAGCTGCTGCAAACGATTTTGCATAAAACGTTGCATTTTTTCCAAGTGACGCCGCTCGGACGTATTGTGAATCGTTTCAGCAACGATATGGCCGTCATTGATAAGGTGAGATTTGTTATTTCTGTTATCCATTGTCATCGTTCTACCTCTGACCCCATCCCCGCCATCGAATCGTGTCGGTTTTAGCCATCAGCTCTCGTTCTTTATTCATTTTTGCATTGGCATGAAATATACGGGCACGGAGCACAAGTTGTTGGCCCTTTGATTAAGATGGCTCGGCGATAAGCACGTTTGTTCTACATTTTATAGTTTGTTGTGGTTGTTGTTCAGGCCATGACCTATGTGCTTTAAATGGAAGGTGTATATCTTAAATAACCCATAACTATGCGCTTTTGTGTTTACAGAAAATTGCGGCCACTGGCCAACGATTGCTGCAATTCACTTTGCTCTGCCTGTCGGCCATTCTGATAAATGTGACCATAACCCCTTGGTTTCTGGTCCTCACTCTCCCCATTTGTGGGGCCTACTATGTAATCCAAAAGTTCTACAGGTGCTCGGCACGGTGAGTTTAACCATCGGTTTATTTACTATTTATTTAATATTTTATTTATAAAATTATTTATTATTTTCAGGGAACTACAGCGCATTGAAAATGCAACCAATTCTCCTGTTATATCGCATCTTTCGGAGACGATTCAGGGTGTGACCACGATACGAGCTTATAATCAGCAAACCAGATTCACCGAGATCCTGTTCAAACGTCTGGAGGCAAACACAATTGCTTATGCTTTGCTCAACACAAGTCATCGCTGGCTGGGAGTGTCCTTGGTAAATATATAGCATATTATTTAGGAGAGATGACCCTCAAATAGTTAAATTATATGTTGCAAGATGTGATATTGCTAGAGATATTTTTGACAATATATAATATCAGATTACTCTCGACTTCTTTGCTTAGCTAAATGCATATCGTCACACGTACATGAAAATGTAAAAAAGGACACTAAACTTAGTGCTTTACTCGAAATCTCTAATGCAATCAAAGAAACTCCAGCCATAACACGACCTTAACCTTGTCATGACAACTGAGTGGAGCGTAGTCCTCCAGTTCTCTCTCTCTCTACCTCTCTATCCGCCTCTTAATCACATCTCACATCACTTTAATGTGTTCTCCCTACCACCCGCAGGACTATTTGGGTGGATGCATTGTTTTTGTGGCCACCGTAACGGCCCTGGCCACGGCGAGCGTCAGTTGCAGCCACTACGAACGCTACAGGCAATCGCCTGGCAGCGGGACAGCATCCGAAACTTATGCTGTCAATAAAAGCCCAACGGACTCGGAGCTGAGACCCTCGCCGTCGCTGGTGGGTCTGGCCATAAACTACACGTTGTTGGTGCCGATTTACCTTAATTGGGTTGTAAAACTTTTGGCTGATATGGAGATGTATGCGGGCTCCGTGGAACGCATCGCCCACTATGCCCAGGGACAGGATGCGGACACCGACGAACCGACGCCCTACGACGAGGACGAAGATGTGAGCGGTGAAGTCGATAGGTCGTCCCTGCCGAAAGCCGGTGACAAAGTTTACCCAGGCGCAACGACAGCTGCCGGTGATGTTGATGAAGATGGACCGGCAGCTGGTGGAGCAGAGGATGGAA